CATTCTTCGTCCTCGTCGGGGCTGCTGGAGGCTTCCTGTCAACGCGGCTGGATCCTCGTCGAAAAAACAGGTCTGGTCGGACCCTGGGAGGGGACAGGGACCGATTTTGAGTGCAGTTTGGACAGGCGGGGGAGCCGCCGACTTGGGTTTTCTTCGGTCCGCCTCGGCCCATCTTGCGGCGGGAAGTCTCTTGGACTACTGGTGCGATCCAGTGTGCAGGGAGACGTTTGAAACATTGGTCGGGCTCTGGAACTGAAACGTCTGATTTTCTGACGGTGTCTTGACGGAGGTCCTTCGGAGGTGGGGGGGAGTCTTGCTAACGGTCTCGGGAAGTGAAGGGGCCATCTTTGGAATTCTGCGAGAACAGCTTGGAGGCCAATCTTGTGCCGTCTTCAAACCGTCAGGGTCCACCTCTACGCGCCCACTTTGCAGCAAGCTCGATGGCGGATCTTGTCAGGATTCGGTCGCTTCGCTTTGCTATGCACTTGGGCGCCAAACGTGCGCACAAAGTGTTTCACAGACTTGCCACTTGCGTTGAAACATAATCACAAGCAGCGGTGAGCATCCTCTTTGTCATCACCATTATCAAACACACGCGAGGAATTGTGCGAGTATCCGTCACACCACACCGCACCGCGATTCAGCAAGACCACTTTCAGTATCATACGTCTGGTATATTGCAGCGGTCAGAACGTAATTATCCGCGATATCTTACAACATGCTCTCACTGCTTACCTGAGCGCACCTGTAGCAGCGCCCTGCTTAAGTGTTTCGGCGAACGTACCTGGCGGTCTGTCAGCATGCAGTGTATGCAGCTTTGTCGCGACGGCGCGTGAGCATCTTGGCATTGTGAGTTTCGAGCGGTCCCTACCTGAACGCTTTGAGTATCGAGCAGGCCCTACCCGTGCGATGAAGCAGTTCGACTCTTGTCACGTAGCGGACTTTGCAGCAGCGTTCGTGATGAACGTCCTAAGTAAGCCTGGTGACAAACCCACTGGGCCGATCGAGTTCGTGCTTGCAGCAGAGACGAAGGCTAGGTCGGCAAACGAGCCAAGAGCACCTTGCAAATTTCGGGCTGCTCGTCCAACAATTGGCAGCGGCCCCCACACAATGGGGAGTTCGATGATTTTGTTACTCATGGGCCGCGTTTGGCTGTGCCTGCGGCGTCCACGCGTTTATGCATCCAGGTGTTGCGAACAACGAGTGTCGTTAAACTCGGCGATGATAGACTTTTCGATTGCAGCCGCAGGACACGAACATAAAACCGACAAACCGATAAACCGATCAACCGATATGATTATATCGGTTTATCGGTCGATCTGCCGATAAACCGATCAACCACTAAACCGACTCATCGCATGCGTGCCCGAATCTCAGCACAGCTTGGCTTTATCAGTTTATCGGTTTATCGGTATACCGGATGTTTCAGTCTATCGGTTGGTCGGTTTATCGGCCCGACGTTGTCGTGGTTGTCCAATGGGTAATCCTTCGAAATTATCTTTCCTCTTCCTCCTAGTCCTCCCCTTCCTCTTCCTCCTAGTCCTCCTCCGCCTCCGCCTCCTCCTCCTCCTCCTCCTCCCTCTTCTTCCTCCTCCTCCCTCCTCCGTTCCGATCCTCCCTCCCTCCCTCCCTCTCCTCCCTCCCTCCCTCACTGGCCCCGACGCCCATGGTTCTCCTAGTCCTCCCTCCCCCTCTTCCTCCTAGTCTCCTCCGCCTCCCCTTCCTCTTCCTCCTAGTCCTCCTCCGCCTCTGCCTCCTCCTCCTCCTCCTCCTCCCTCCTCCTCCTCCTCCTCCCTCCTCCGTTCCGATCCTCCCTCCCTCCCTCTCCTCCCTCCCTCCCTCACTGGCCCCGACGCCCATGGTTCTGCGCGCACAGGGCCGCGGCCCCCGTGAGCCCCTTCTCGGCGTTCCAGCTGACCACCATTCCTGGGGAGCTCGTCCTCCCTCCCTCTTCCCCTCCTGCCCACACTCTCACATCCGTCCCCCATTCCCCTCCCTTGTTCCCCTCCCCTCCCTCTTTCGGATTGGGGAATTTCGAATTTCCTGTCTCCTCCTCTCCCAGGCCCAGTGCCCAGGCCCATACAGAAAGAAAAACTGGAAAGGGGGGAGAGCGGGAAGGAGAGATGGAGGGAGGGAGGGTTGGATTCGATTCGGGAAAGGGGCATTTGAGAAAAGAGGGGATGGAGGGGTGGAGGGAATAGGGATGGGGGAGGGGGATTGGAGTTGGGAAGGAGGGATGGAGGGAGGAGTGGCGGGGGGAGGGCGGGGTTTGTGGGAGGCAAAATCTGGCGGGGCATTTCGGGCTAGGACGTTTTCGGTTTCTACGGCGCTTTGGCGGGGGTGCCTCCAGCTCCCCCTTCCTCTCCTTCTCTGGGTTTTTTTTTTGGGGGGGGTCGCATTTCCCCTCTCCTCCTCCCCCATCCTCCTTCTCCTTCCCCCCTCGGTCTTAGCCGTATCAGGTTATCGCTGTAGCGCGAGCTGCGGCGAAAGCTGCTGGCGTCGCGTGTCCTATTGCGGATCCGGGCGCAACTCTCAGCCATGCGCGGCGGCCCGTATGATGAACCACCCGGGCCTTTAAACCAACGGGACGTCATCGTCTGCTCTTTGTGCGACCGGCGAGTCGGGAAGCCATGCTGGGCCACCCATGTGAGGGATTGTGTCAGCGCTTCCTCTGCGCTCGCGGTTGAGCCGCAGTGGTTGGGCCTTGATCCCAACCGTGCGCCAGTTCAGTTTGTTGCTCAAGGACTGCCTGTTGCCCTTCGCGCCGATATGAAGATAGCGGGGGATAAACTGAAACAGTGCTACCTCCGGATGGGGCAAGCCTTCGTGCCCGACCCCCGCATCAGCGGGGCTTGCTACACTTGCGGTTGGAGCTCCTTCAAAGGTGCGTGGATGGGGCCCGAGGGTTGCAGCGTCGGCGCGCTGTTCCTCTGCGCCGCGTTCATCGACTCGCTGTTCGAGACGAAGGCTTTGACGGACGCGGCGCAATTCATGACCAACATGGGCATGGATTCTAGCAAGCGCTTGCCACATTCCCGTTATCTGGCCCAAGGTGGGAGTGCGTTCGTGCAGTGGGGTGAGAATTACTGCCGTTCCAAGCGGCCGGCGCCCGGTGAGCCGCGCGTGGCCCACGTGCCACCGGCCGTGACTTCTTCCAGACACTGGTGGGCGCACTCCGCATGTACGACGCAGCGTGCGACCTGCTCTAGCCGCGGGTGTGCGTCGTGCGAACATTGCTGCTTGCGCAAATTGCGATTCGTGTTCAAGTTCGCAGTGGCTGCGCTGTACCAGTCTGACAGAACGCCTGTGAGTTCCCAGGTGCGCTTTGTGCTCGGGCACAGGTCGTTCCGAATCCTCGGCGGCCTCGACGTAGTTTTCTCGCCGTCGGAAGAGTTCGGCATCTGGGCGCCGCCGCGCGTGGACGGCGACAAGTGGCCTTGGATAAGCTTTATTGTATTCGGCGACTAAGCGGCGACTCGGCTCCGACCCCTGCCGCTTGGCGGGGGCTGCGCGCAGCCATGCCCGCGGGTTCGGGCGCGGTCCGGCGGCGGGGGCCGCCAGCGCGGCGACGGGGGCGTCCTGGGCGGCGAGAGCTGCCTTTGATCCTCGCTCAGCGGCGCGAGCGGTCCGGCGGCGGGAACTGCCCCCGCCCGTCGCTCGTGCGAGCGGCCGGGGCATTTTTAAGAGGCGGTTTGCGCGGCGAGAGCTGCGCCGTCTCGCTGGCGCGCGCGGGCGCTGTTGAGCGGCGAGAGCTGCAAGCGCGGCGACGGGGGGGTCCTGGGCGGCGAGAGCTGCCTTTGATTCTCGCTCAGCGGCGCGAGCTGCCCGCGCCGTGGAGCGCGTGGTGAGAGCTGCCCCCGACCGTCTGGCATTGGACTGGTGGCGATTGGCTCCGTCTGCTTTGTCCTCCTCCTCCTCCCCCTCCCCCTCCTCCTCCTCCTGTTCCCCAATGTTCATCCCCCGTCCCCTTCATCTTCCCCCTATCCTCTTCCCCCCCCCCCCATCCCCTCCCCCCCCCTCCTCCTGAGGCCCACGGGATTGGGCGAAGGGCCTGAGGGCGCGCCCGCTCCGTGCCCAGAGGCGCGGAGGCCAAATCTGGTCGGGCATTCGTCGCCCGCATGTGGTGCGAAAACCAGGGCATGGCGGCGGGCATTTGGTGCGATAGCCAGGCTGCGTGGGCCCCCCGCCCCGGGTCCACGTCTCATCTCCCCCCTCCCCCCCCTCTTTCGGATTGGGGAATTTCGAAGGGAGGGAGGGTTGGATTCGATTCGGGAAGGGGCATTTGAGAAAAGAGGGGATGGAGGGGTGGAGGGAATAGGGATGGGGGAGGGGGATTGGAGTTGGGAAGGAGGGATGGAGGGAGGAGTGGCGGGGGGGGGGCGGGGTTTGTGGGAAGCAAAATGTGGCGGGGCATTTCGGGCTAGGACGTTTTCGGTTTCTACGGCGCTTTGGCGGGGGTGCCTCCAGCTCCCCCTTCCTCTCCTTCTCTGGGCTTTGGGGGGGTCGCATTTCCCTTCTCCCCCTCCCCCATCCTCCTTCTCCTTCCCTCCTCGGTCTTAGCCGTATCAGGTTATCTCTGTAGCGCGAGCTGCGGCGAAAGCTGCTGGCGTCGCGTGTCCTATTGCGGATCCTGGCGCAACTCTCAGCCATGCGCGGCGGCCCGTATGATGAACCACCCGGGCCCTGAAACCAACGGGGCGCCATCGTTTGCTCTTTGTGCGACCGGCGAGTCGGGAAGCCATGCTGGGCCACCCGTGTGAGGGATTGTGTCAGCGCTTCCTCTGCGCTCGCGGTTGAGCCGCAGTGGTTGGGCCTTGATCCCAACCGTGCGCCAGTTCAGTGTGTTGCTCAAGGACTGCCTGTTGCCCATCGCGCCGATATGAAGATAGCGGGGGGTAAACTGAAACAGTGCCCGACCCCCACATCAGCGGGGCGTGCCCGACCCCCACATCAGCGGGGCTTGCTACACTTGCGGTCGGAGCTCCTTCAAAGGTGCGTGGATGGGGCCCGAGGGTTGCAGCGTCGGCGCGCTGTTCCTCTGCGCCGCGTTCATTGACTCGCTGTTCGAGACGAAGGCTTTGACGGGCGCGGCGCAATTCATGACCAACATGGGCATGGATTCTAGCAAGCGCTTGCCACATTCCCGTTATCTGGCCCAAGGTGGGAGTGCGTTCTTTGCGCTTAGTGGTTTCGCATTTCCCCTCTCCTCCCCCCCTTTCCTCCTTCTCCCCCCCCTCTCGCGGAGTCTTGTCGGGGCTCTGCTCCTAGTGGAGTCTCGTCGAGGCTCTGCTCCTGGAGCCGATCGCCGTCCGTCCTTTCGTGCAATGTGACCCAGACCGACGCGAAATGGCGCGCCAGATTTTGCCCCCCACCGAAATTTGCCCCGCCAGATTCTACCTCCCGCGCGGCTGCCGCCATCGTCATCGTTATCATCAGCATGACCTTCCTCTTCCTCATCTTGAGACATCCTCGCAACGCTGACCTCTGATATGCCCTGCCCCAAATTGTGCTGGCCATTTCCGCCCGCGCAAAAACTCGCCTCGTTCACCTGGGGGGCGTGCCCAGCCTTGAAACAGTCTGACCCCCGATCTGCCCCGGGATGCGATGTTCAGACAACTTTCGCCCGGGGCGCCCTCGCACTTCTGACTTCGGAGGTGCCCTACCCCATGGCGGTCCGACCACTTTCGCCTGCGACATTCTCGCAACAGCGGCTTCCGAGACGCCTATAGCTGACCTCTTCAGGCCACTTTCGTCTGAGACAACGACCTCGCATATGCCCTGCCCCGAGTTGGTTCGGCCACTGTCGCCTGGGGCCCTCGCAGGCCCTGCACTACCCGCGCAAAGCATCGCGCGCGGCGGGAGATGCTCGGACCCCTGCGGGACTCCGTCCGCACCAGAGACTCAGGCAGATCAAACCGAGCCGCCCCAGAGTGGGGTGCGCCGTCCGCGCCAGAGCCAAAGGCAAAACTCACGCCGTCGCCGTCGCCGTCGTCGTCGTGGCGGGGGGCTGACAACCAGCCGATAACCCGATAAACCGATAAACCGATATGCGGCGCAAGGATCGCCTCCACAGGTTCCCCCCCGGCGGTCTCAGACCAGCAGCCAGTCAACCGATGAACCGATAAACCGATAAACCGATAAACCGACGAAGAGAGGGGGGCGCGCCAGCAATCGCCTCTATGTTCGCATACGAAGATTATCGGTTTTTCGGTTGAGCGACCGATCCACCGATAAACCGATCAAATTATATCGGTTTTTCGGTTGATCGGTTTGCAAACCGTTCAACCGATTAGTTTTTATCGGTTGATCGGTTTATCGGTCGGATGGGTTTCCGGAAGCCGTTGCCGCTGCACTCGACTTTTCGCAATGCGGAGTAATATCATGTTACTCGCGAGTGCAGTCCCCAGACTTGCTATGCGCTTTGCAGGTGACGACCTGCTGTAAGGCCCCCGTAGCAGTTTGACGCTATCTGCTTGGAACGTCTGTTGAGGGCGCCGCTCATTCCCAGGACAGGCCCCGACGTTGCCAGTGCCCGACGTGGCAAGCGCCCGAGGCCGTAGGAGGTGGAGGCTCGGGAATGTGTGTTGCGCCTTATGGCGACGGCACCGGTTCACCATGCCCTGCCGAGGCAGGTCTCCAGGAGGCCTATCACGAATTATGGTGGCAAGCGGCTCATCATCACCAGCGCCATCATCATCTTCATTCTGATGTTTGGTGTTTGGCCTCCTGGCCACCATCGCCGCAGTCCTCGTCAACAACATCATTACCCTATGATGCGACAGCGGCGAGTGTATTGTAACAGTTCGGCACTGAAGTGATACAGTGGCCGCAAGCATGTGCCAAGCTTGTATGTCTACTGTTGTGTGTATCACTCAAACGCCAGATCGCCATGCAGTACTGATCTGCCGACCGAATCAAACGCATGACAGAGGGCCCGTTATACGCAGTGGGAAGCACGGATTGGGTGGCGTTCGTTTGCTCCATTGTCCCCAGCACTGGCATTGATCTTTGTTGTTCTGAAGGCGAACCATGTTGTCTTGACCTCTGTTGAACGTCGACCAGATGTCTCAGTACCTTTGCACCGATGGATCATGAGCGTAAGATTGGGAAGCAGCGCCATTGAGATGAGAAGTTTAAAAGGTGGATGAATAATAGCTCCACATGGCAGTCGCTCCGCACTCGACCTGTAGCAGTTAGTTGGGGACAGGGACCTGCTCACCGATAGCAAGCTGGTTTGGCTGAAACTGGACCGTGTACACAAAGTCATTGGATGTGGCAGCCAGAAAGAATCGAAGGATGATATGAAGCATATATGTGTATAGGTACATCCATCCATCCATCCATCATCCATCCATCCATCCATACATCCATACATCCATACATACATACATACAGACATACAGACATACATGTATGTATGGTCCAGGGCTGGGGCCCCCCCCCCACCTCCCCCACCCCAATGCTGATGCCATTGGGCCCCCCCCCCGCGCGATGGTCCCCCCCGCCCCCCCTTGTGGGCGTGGCGTGGTGCTGCGCTGCGGTGCCCCCCCCCCCCTGTGGATGTGGTGTGGTGCTGTGGTGGTTCAGAAGTGGGCGTGGCGTGGTGCTGCGCTGCGGTGCCCCCCTCCCCTCCTGTGGATGTGGTGTGGTGCTGTGGTGGTTCAGAGGTCGTCGTCCTCGTCGTCCTCGTCGTCCTCGTCGTCCTCGTCGTCCTCGTCGTCCTCGTCGTCGTCATCGTCGTCGTCGTCGCCGTCGTCATCGTCATCGTCGTCGTCGCCGCCGCCGCCGGCGGCGTCGCCGCCGCCGCAGCCGTCGTCGTCGTCGTCGTCGTGGTCGTCGTCGTCGTCGTCGCCGTCGTCGTAGTCGTCGCCGTCGTCGTCGTCGCCGTCGTAGTCGGCGACGTCGTCGTCGTCGTCTCTGGGACCATACCATCTGGGGGGGGGGCCCGAGGAATCCTGGGACCATACCATCTGGGGGGCGGGGGGGCCGTGAACCCTCGACCCTGGAGCATGTATCGAAGACGCCTACGGCGAATCACCGCCGCCCCCTGCCTTTGTGGAAGCGCCTATGTGGCCGAACGTTGAGGCCAGACCTGCCAAGCCATCGGACCATGTGTTCCCCGAATCGGTTTGGAAAGCCTTCGGGGAACACGTGGGCGTCTTGATGGTCATCGTCGCCGTCTTGGAGGCCTCTTGGGCGATCTTTCGGCGATCTTTGGGGGCTCTTGGGCCGTCTCGGGCCGTCGGAAGGCCGAAAGAAGGGAAATGCCCAAATCCATCAAAAACCTTGGGAAAATCAGTGATTTTGGCATCTTTTGGCCTTCCTGGAGGCCCTCTTGGGGGCCTCTTGGGCCCTTTTGGGCCAGCTTCGAGCCAACTTCGGCCATCTTGGTGGGTTCCTGGCACGTCTGACGCCGTCGGGAGCCGTTTTGGGGGCCTTTCTGGGCCAACGGGGGACCCTCTTGGGGCGCTCCAGGGCCGTCTTGGAGGCCATCTTGGGCGTCTTGGAGGCCATCTTGGGCGTGTTGGAGGCCTCTTGGGCCGTCTTGGGGCCCTCTAGGGGCCATCTTGGAGGCCACTTGGGCCATCAGGGGGCTCTCTTGGGGGCCTCTTGGGCGATCTTGGGGGCTTCTTGGGCCGTCTTGAGCCGTCGGAGAGCCGAAAAGGCGCAAATGCCAAAATCCTTCAAAAACCAAGGAAAATCAATGATTTTGGCCTCTTCGGACTCTCCTGGAGGACCTCTTGGAGGCCTCTTGGGCCGTCTGGGAGGCCTCTGGGGGGCCTCTTGGGCCGTCTTGGGCCGTCTTGGACTCTCTTGGGCCGTTTTGGAGGCCGTCTTGGACCATCTCGGGCGGACTTGGAGGCCATCTTGGGCCATCTTCGCGATTTTTTGAGGATGTCCCGAGCGAAACGGCCGTTTTTGGGCACGGTGGCGGGACGGGCCGGAGCCCACTGGAGAGTTCTTTTGGAAAAAGAACCAAAACCAAAACCTAACAGCTCATCCAGCACGCCGTGCACCCCTGCAAGCAGGGGGCGGCGGATAATGGCCTTCGGACCGTGCCGCCACCGTGCCTGGGTTGTGGGTATGAAGCCTATTGGATGTTCGTTGGGATCTCGCTCGTGGGAGGCCTCTCGGGGGTCTCCTGGAGGCAGTTTGGAGGCCTCTTGGGGCTGTTTGGGGGCCTCTTGGGGCCTCTTTTAGGCCTCTAGGGGGCATCATCGAGTCTCTTCGGGGCCCAATGGGGCCTCCTGGGCGCCTCATGGGGCCTCCTGGGAGCCTCTTGGGGCGGAAGGCTCGGATTTCCTGTTCGTGCTCCCTCTCTTGGGCCAGTTTTGGGGCCGTCTTGGGCCGTCTTGGGCGCCTTTTAGGCCGTCTTGGGGCGCTCCTCGGCCGTCGTGGGGCCTTCTTGGAGGCCCCTGGGCCGTGTTGGGGTGGTCTTGTAGGCCTCTTGGGCCGTCTTGGAACGTCGGAAAACCGAAAAGGCGAGAACGAGAAAAACCATCAAACTCATAGGAAACTCAATGATTTTGGCCTCGTGGGGCCCTCTTGGGAGGCCCCTTGCAGGCCTCTTGGGGCGTGTTGGGGGCATCTAGGCCTCTCTGGAGGCCATGTTGTGCGTCTTGGGCCGAACTCTCCGCGACTCGAGGCCGTCTCGGAGGCCTCTTGGTCTGGGCCCGTCTGGGGGCCCTCGCGGGGCCGAACAAGTCATGCGGGAAGATGCGACGGGCCCCAGAGGAACCGCGGCAAAGCCCCGAGAGATTTGGCAGTTTGGTCTCCAGGCTCTATCAAGACTCCTCAGACCTGAGGATTGAGGCCCCAGGGATTAGGCAAAGGACCTGAGGACACGCCCACTCCGTGCCCAGAGGCACGGTGGCGGATATACTACATAGGATTCGGGATGGATATTGCTATGCGCCCCAGTTGCTTGCTTACGTGATCGGTGCGCCCGTGACGGTCGTTGAGCGACGCCCCTTCGAGTTCGAGTCAGTGCCGATATGAAGATCGGTTCATCGGCGCCGTCGCCTTGTATCATCTTTGCCACCACCCGCTGCTGTCTTCTGGGCCTGATTTGCGGGCCACCCACCCCTGCAGCTGGGCGTGGTGCAGACGGCCCCCCCTGACCCAGCCCGCTGCTCGGGCAGGGATCCGGGAGCTGCCGCGGCCGCGGCCGATGTCGGTCAACCTGCAGGACGGCAGCGCCGATGCCGGAGTGGACTCGGACACCCCCGCGGCGAGGTCTTTCTGCGGCCTGCGCACCTCGTGGTCCGTGCAGCACCCCGCGACCTCCGACATCCTGGGGATACCCTCCACCAAGAACCACACCGCGACGCCCGTGGGCGGCGAGGTCTACGTCTTCGGGGGCTACGACGGCCAGAAGAACCACAACGAGCTGTACGTCTTCGGCCTCGCGTCGATGGAGTGGAGGCAGCCGCAGGTCGGGGGCGCGAAGCCCAGCGGCAGGAACGGCCACTCCGCCACGCTGCTCCAAGGCGGATCGAGCATCCTGATCCTGGGCGGCTGGCTGGGCAACGGCCCGCTCGCGGCAGGCCTGGGCGGCGCGCCAAAGCGGGGGGGGGGGCCGGGCGGCAGCCCGTCAGTGGGGCGCCGGCCCCCTCCTGGGGGGCCTCTGAGGGGGGCCCACCGGTCGAAGGCAGGATCTCGAGTCTGCTGGGGCTTGGCATCGCTCGGACGTGTGCATTTTTCCTGGGGCGAGGACCATCGAGGAGCATCCTTGATCCTTTGGCGAAAAAGCCACGCACGAATCCGAAAATTATCCCGGCAAAGCAACCTAACAGCGATGTGTAGAAGCATAGCTGGAAACATTGCCTGTGGTATTCATGTAAGAGTGCTGTTGTAGAATTCTGGTGTTCTCGCAGTCGCATTCGGATTCGCAGTGGCAGTCGCAGTGGCAACATCAGCGGCAGTCGCAGTGGCACTGCCAGTAGTTGCCGTAGCAATAGCTACACTAGCAGCAGCAACAGCAGCAGCAGCAGTAATAGTAACAGTAGTAGTAGTAGTAGTAGCAGTAGAAGTAGTAGTGATGGTAGTAGTGGTAACAGTGAAGTGGTAGTTGTAGTGTGTGGAGTGAACGAGTAGGAGTGTTCAATGCAGCAGGGTCAGGAGCACCGCCGCCAGACCGAGAACTATCAGCATGTCTTGGCATTGAGGTGCGCAGTAGGCGCTGCGCAGTTCCTTTGAAAGGAAATCTTCGAAAGCAGGGCTGTAGCCAAGAAGGCTACGGGGACGATGATGATGATGAAAATGATGAGTCTTGCAAGTCTGGGAAGTGGAACAGCACGAAGTGGCGTACAGTTGGCTCCGGGCATTCAAAATGTGGCCCGAGGAAGTGGCCTACAGTTCTGGGAAGTCGAAGAGCACGAAGTGGCCTACAGTTGGCTCCGGGCATTCAAAATGTGGCCCGGGAATGGAGTTCTGGGAAGTCGAAGAGCACGAAGTGTCCTAGAGTTGGCTCCGGGCATTTAAAATGTGGCCGGGGAGTGGAATTCTGGGAAGTCGAAGAGCACGAAGTGGCTTACAGTTGGCTCCGGGCATTCAAAATGTGGCCCGGGAATGGAGTTCTGGGAGGTCGAAGAGCACGAAGTGTGTGACTGTTTGCTGAAAACGAGCCCGGCCCTCGCCTGTCCGGCTCGCGCCCAGACCCCCATGGGGAGTCATCAGATGCTTTCTTTTGACCCCATTAGAAACCTATCAGTCTTCGCTGTTAGGTAAAAACACAGGGAATTGACGTCCGAGCGATGGCCAAGGGGGGTTTGAGGTGGCCCAGCAGGGGGCAAGGTTCAGGGCCCTGGGTTCGAGAAGGGAGTTTGCCCTGTTCGGTCTCCGAGGGCCACTGCCGGGCCCCAGGACCATCGAAAATTGTTCCGGGCCGAAAAACATTGCGCCATACGGTTCCAGGGAGGGGTCCAGGTACGTATTCTGAACGGATTTGTATTGATCCCCCCCTCTCGACAGATTTTCTCGGGGCCCCCTCAGCGACGACAATAGACCCCTTGGCCGCCTCCCAGGCAGGATTTCCGCGAATCAAGGGGGGAAAAAGTCACCCCGACCCCCATAAACCACAGCTGGCGCCTGCTGGGCAATTTTGGGCGATGGCGCAACAATCCTCCCTTTCTTTTTGATTTCGAGTTTACGTGGCGGTTCACGGAGACAGTCAGGAAGCGTGCCGATTTTAACGTTGTGCATTTTTCTGTATTGTGCGTCGCTTTCTCGTCGATGGTTGATCCTGCATTACATCCGTTGCGCATTGGGGGAGCCTGCCCGCTCCGACTGCGCAGGCCATACGGCCGGCGCCGCCGACCCTGAAGGGCGACAAAGACGACGACGACGACGACGACGACGACGACGACGACGACGACGACGACGACGACGACGACGCTGACGCTCTGGAGCCGAAAGCTTCTTCCGGGGTGGGCTGCTCCCCCCCTGGGGGGCACCGTTGCGCATGGGGAAGAAAAGCAATCCTGCCCTTTCCCAGTCAGGCGATCGCAAACATGGATCAAGGGGGCGTGGATTAGCGACGGGTCCCGTTTCCATGGGAAATCGCGGATTTCCGCCGCCGAACGAGCCGGCACCAGCCGCATTTTGGGGAGGGTACCTCCTCCGATGCATGGATTTGGCGCTTGCAAGCCAAATCCATGGATCGGTAATCCATGTTTGCGCGCCCCCGACCCATTCCCTCCGCTGGTGCGTCGTTCCCCTGCGGTGCGAATGGTTCTTCGGCCCTCTGACCCGAGGGGCAGGGAGGCTCACGAGAGGGTCGCCAGCCTCATCCTCCTCCTTTTCCTCCTTGGCATCGCTCGGACGTGTGCATTTTTCCTTGGGCGAGGACCATCGAGGAGCATCCTTGATCCTTTGGCGAAAAAATCCACGCACGAATCCGAAAAAAACACAGGGAATGGACGTCCGAGCGATGGCCAGCCTCCTCCTCCTCCTCCTCCTCCTCCTCCTCCTCCTCCTCCTCCTGCCTTGGCAGGCGACGTCCACATGCTGGACCTCTGCCCGCTGAGCTGGGCGAGGCCGCGGCTCTCTGGGGAGCCCCCAGGTCCATAGGGCCTTCCCAACGGGGTCCGAGCCGATGGGGACGAAGGATCGCTCCGCATCGACGACGCATCCGCGACGCGGCTCGATGTGGAGACCGAGTTGTTCTACGCCGACGTCGGCGATGCATCGGCGATGCGGCGCGATCCCCCGACCCCGTCTACTCGGACCCCATCGGGGAGGCCTCTTCTAGGGCCCTGCAACATGCACACGGCGGACATCATAGGCCGGAACCTCCTCGTCTTCAGGGGCGGGGACGGCCGGGCGTACCCTCAGAGTTGGGCGCCGTGAAAAAGACTTTGGACGCCCGAAATGGGTACGGAAAGAACGGGTACAATGCCCAACAGCAGTTCCTGTTCATTCTGAACAGGACTCGCTGTCGGTGTCGCCGCGGCCTGTGCCCATTCGAGACACAAGGCCGCCTGCCCAACAGTGGCCGCTGTTGGTTTGGGACAACATTTGTTATTGAGCATTGTACCCATTCTTTGAGCCGCCCTGATCTAATGCCCCAGAGCCTTTTCTATAGGAAACTGAAACACAATCAGAAAATAAAATAAGAAATCATGGGGACTCGGGCGAAATATTCAGAAAAATAAAATACAAATGCACAGCAAACATTTTGCATCAGCATGGGATATATGCGTTTGCGTTGCATTGCGTGCCATTTGCGGTGATGATCGTGCGGGAAGGGTCGCGGCATGCCAAGTTTCCCTTACTCCTTTCCCCCTTCCTTCCCCCCTGCCCGCTCCACCTCCCGTGCCTCCCTTTTCCGACCCCCCCGCACATCCCAATCTAATACTTCCCTCACCTCCCCTTCCCCGCCTCCACCGTTCCTCCCACGCCCCCCCCCCTCCCCCGCCCCCCCGACCTCCCCCTAGGTCCCTACCTCCTCTTTTCGCCCGTAGCCATTTTGGCTCAAGGACGCCGAAGAGGCCGATAACAGGCCAATAACACAGCCTCAGAGTCTGTTCTTACATTCCTACTGCTCTTACATTCCGATTTAGAGGTGCGCCACTTGCACTCTCACCGAGGATCTTGCATACATCATGGCTTCTCGTGTTCCCCTCAAGTTGGATGGAGAGTTGGAACAGGCTGCTTCGCCTCCGCCGACGACAAAAAAAACTCGCAGAGCCGGCACCCCCGTCAAGGACGTGTTGCAGCCCCCTGCTGGTAGAGCAAAGCAACATCGCATCCACAGTCCACTACATGAGATGGATGGCCTGGACGATCTTCAAGCCGTATCTCAGCAACTACTCGACGATGACCCTGCCGCAGCCGCAGGTTCACAATCGGGTAACGATACGGATGGCCTAACAGTTGAGCAATTTGAGCAAATATTGCGAGACCAGCTTCAACCAATCCAGAACGATATTCGTGCGATCAAGCAGCACGGCGTTTCGCAACAAGACCTGCGGAACGCGGTGGAGCCTTTGAAGACAGCTGTCGATGACATCACCGCACGCGTTGCCGTTCTCGAGTCGCTTCCACATCGTCCAGATGCTGATTCTGCGACTGGTTCCGCACGCAGTCTGGCTTCCACAGTTGAGGCGAAACTCAATGAGATCGAGCGCCAAATGGCGGAACTCACCACGAACAAGCAGTATGAGTGCAATGCTGTCATTGGTGGATTGGGTAACTTCGATACCTTGCGCGACGCGTCTGCATGGATCAATGAACAGGCGCTTCATTTCGGAGCTCCGGAGCCTAAGGAGACCTTCATCAAAGGCGACGCGTTCCAGCAGATCTTCTTCGCAAAGTTTGACACGGCCAGTGCCCGGGACACATTCGTCACAATCCTGGGGAAAGCTCAATTGAAACATCAAGGAAATGTGATTTGGACGCGTCCAGACCAACCTTTGGAAAAAAGGGTCCCAGAGAGCTTCTTGTTCAGCTTGCGTAAGACATTCTTGGGATGGGGTTATTCCAAAAGCGAGGTACGTGTGGATACTCTTGAACAGAAGCTCAAAGTAGCCAAAGAACCTGTGTGTCACGTACTTGTCGCCGGGTCCGCTCTCCAGGTTACGTGGTGTGGAGCATGGGCTGCTTGGGGCGATCTCACAAACAGCCCGGAGGTGTCTGACCTCACCGATCGCGCTAATGGGGCCCTCCAGCGTGCTAAAGGCAGCGGCAAGGGAAAGAAGGGCAACCACTAGGAAATACGACGGCGCATCGGCACTACAAGTACGACGAGTACGGGCAAATGGGTAACATTTCCATGTTCGCCAGTACTGTGTGGACGAATTGCCTCCTGGAATGTCGAAGGCATCAGCCCGGAGAAGCCACACAAGTTGTACGAGATAATGAAGCACATGTCAGAATTAAATATCGGTGTGTTGTGTCTTCAAGAGACACATTGCCGTGGGTCACAGATTTTGGAACACGAGGGATACTTATTTATTCTTTCTGGGACGGAGCACGACAGCAGAGAATATGCAGGAGTCGGGTTCGTAGTGGCACCTTGGATGAGACACGCTGTCAAAGGTTACCTACAAAAGGACAACAGAATGGCCAGCATTCGGCTCCGGGTATCTGGTGGAATTCTTACGTTGATTACAGTATACGCTTGGACCAACGAGCATCCGTATGATATCCGGCACGATTTTTTCACCGATCTGACGGCATTCGCCACCAGATGCAAATCTTATGGGCCAACCGTCCTGCTGGGGGACTTCAACGCGAGGCTTCTGCGACGACGTGCCGGAGAAAGGAAAGTCATAGGACCTTATCCTTTCGAGAATCTTACCGGGAAGTGGGAGCCAACGTCAAACCGAGAATTACTATTGGAATTGTGTGGTGCCTTGGAAGCGTGCGTTGCGAATACATTTTTCGACGCAGGACTCGAAGCTAAAGCAACTTACCGCGATCTGGGCACCCATCCAGCAGAACCAGTACAACCAGGCCGGTTCGAACAATTGGACCATGTCGTAGTTGAGCGAAGTTGGTTCAGCAGCGTTACGGCTATCTGGAGCGATCGGTGGAGGGCGCTCCAATCGCATCACTTCGTGCAGATAGTGGACCTCGACGTAGACATCCCCAAAAAGGAACGCTCAACAAGAACAGCCACAGCAGATCTGACGACACTACAAAACAAGGACATCGCAGATACATACGCTGATGCCTTTGTTCGCAATTGGGAAAGCAATCCGCCATGTACAGATCTGGAGTCCAGGGCAAAATCCGTGGCTACATGCATGCTGGGATCTGCACAACATGTTCTGCCAACCATCTCCGTGCAGAAGCGCCGGCCGTGGATTACAACGAGAACGCTACATCTTATCGAAGAGCGGAATCGCCGTAGAAATGCCGGGGCGGATGCACAAGTCATGAAAGGCCTCAACAAGCAGATACAACTTTCGGCACGTGCCGACAGGAAAGCGTGGCTGGAAGAAGCAATAACACAAAACGGATGGCAAGCTATTCGATCACTCCGGAAAGGGCGGCCGATGAAATATGGACGTCTACGGGATACCCAGGGTAATCTAGTTGACGCAGAGGAGCGAGCCGAAACGATGGCAAACTATCTGGAAAAAGAACAATGGAAATTATGTCATGAGGCAGAACAGCTTCCCAACCTAGCGGAGGACAGCAGCTTCTTACCCATCGACGTTGGCAGCATCAATTTGGAAGAGGTTCGACGAGCAGTCAAACACTTGAAGGTGCAGAAAGCGGCCGGGAATGATAGAGTACCCCCTGATCTATGGCACGCGCTATGGAGGAACAGCGCGGCCCTAGAGATATTAAGACAGCTGTGTGACGATTGTTGGCGGCAGAAAGACATGCCAGCGCATTGGCGAGAAGCTTCGGTTGTATCAATATTCAAAAAAGGCGACACCTCCGAGCCATCCAACTATAGGCCCATATCCCTGTTAGCGGTGGGCTATAAAGTTTTGGCCAGTATAATTTTACACCGACTCAAGACTGGAGGCGCGGAAGAAAAACTACGAGAATCTCAATATGGATTCCGGCCTGCCCGGGGCACCAGCGACGCACTATTCTTAGTGCGAAGACTCATTGACGCTGCACTGGAGGACAAAAATGGTAAACTGTTCCTGCTGTTGCTAGACTGGAGCAAAGCTTTTGATCGTATCAGACCAGCGGGGCTACTGTTCGCACTCCGCCACTTCCGAGTACCACCCGCCATGCTGAACATGATTGCCGCGATCTACAAGGCGCGCAAGTTTGTCGTCAAAGATGGGGCAACAACATCATCGCAAAAGTGTCAACCAGCTGGAATTGCACAAGGTTGTCCTTTATCTCCTTATCTGTTCGTAATCGTTATGTCGGTGCTTCTCGAGGCCGTCGACAAGGACTTCCACGCGCAGCCGGGCATCTTCAAGAATAAGCCGTATGTGGTTACTAATGACGTGCTCTACGCCGACGACACGCTGCTCGTGGCACAGTGTCCGGAGTCACTTCAGAGGCATTTTCATATCGTGTCAAACATTGGGAAAACTTTTGGGCTCGACCTGAACGCTGGCAAAACATTATTATTGAAAATCAGATCGGATGCTACGGTTTTGGGGCCGAATGGAGAAGAAATCCAATCTAAAGACGACGTTGTTTATCTTGGTGGCCTCTTAAGCGCAGATGGTCGGCCCAAGGCTGAAATAACGCGCCGCCTCGGAGAAGCAAAAGGAGCATTTGACAAATTATGTGCTGTGTGGAACCACGCAAACATGACCAAGCAGCACAAGCTACGAGTACTGCAAGCCTGCGTCTTCTCCAAATTATTGTACGGATTGGAATCTTGTGTATTATTGCAAGCAGACAAGAACAGACTGGATGGATTTCAAGCCAAATGCTACCGCAGAGTACTGAAGATCCAACCGGCATTCCTATCTTTCTTCAGCAATCAACGTGTCCTGCTTGAAGCACAATCTCCTCCATTGTCAACTATACTATTGGAGAGGCAGCTTAAATATTACGGTAAATTAGCAAGGGCACCTTCGCAATCGTTGCCGAAAGCAATGGTGTTCCAGCCAGGCGAGGCGCACTCCCTAATGCCGCGGGAATGGCGGTCCCTGAAGAATCGAGGCAGACCGCGCTTGCAATGGACCAGTTACATGCACGCCCGCGCGCTGAGAGTCGCAGGAGACGACCCCGACCGCCTGCAGATTTTATTGAATTCTCCTCCAAGGGAATGGGATGCAGCTGTTAAAGAGTATTGTAAACAGTCAGTGTGACTGCGATGAGTTCCCTCGCTCTGCTCATTCGCCTCCCTCCTCCCTGTCCCCTCCCCGCCCCCCCCACCCTCTTCAGACGGAGTGTTGCTGCTTACCCTCGCGCGCCATTTGCGCAAAGCTTGCAAGTGGTTGCCGGCCGAGGCCCAGTGACATTTTCCACGTATGCATGTGCACATTTCCTGCCGATGCGCCGTCTGGGCGCGGCTCTTTGCGCGGTGCACATCCCCTCCCTTACTTACGGTTGTTCCTCGTTTTACTCATCATCCCCCTCTCGGCCCTTCGCCTTCCCATGTCCCCCTCGCCGCCCTTGCTATTTTCGGGCGGGCGGCGGCCGCGGCGGCGCCCGCCCGACGGCGGGGTTCGGGGACCTCTTGGGCTTGGCCCAGATGGAGCCCCGCGGGGGGGCGCGCCCGCGATGGGGGAGGAGGAGGAGGAATAGGAGGACGAGGGCGAGGGCAGCAAGAGCGGGCGCAGGAGAAGGAAGGCCAGGAGGAGGAGGAGGAGGAGGGCGAGGAGGAGGCCCGGATGGCGGATGAGGAACTGATTGCGATGAGGACTTGGAGGGGCCCGAAGGCCTCAAGAGGGCCGCAACAGCGCCCCAAGGGGGCCCAAAGGGGGCCCCAACGGGCACCCAAGTACATGTTACATGCGTCTTGGGGCCTTGTCGGGGCCACCTTGGGGCCCTCCTGGCCCCCTCTTGGGGCCCCTCGGGAGCGCCTCCACTCTGTCGAAAGAGCCCCAAGAAGACCCCAAGAGGACCATCGAGAGAAGACCTTGAGAGAGCCCCAGGAAAGAGCCCCAGGAGGGCCCCAAGAGGCCTCTGTTCCTTCCCCTCGTTCGCCCTTGTCCTTGTCCTTGTCCTCGCGCCTGTCCTCGCCCCCGCCCCTCCCCGTGCCCTTGCCCCTTTGCCCGTCTCACTCGCGCTCGTGGTTTCGTTATACCTGTTTGTTTTTCTGCGTCAGTGGTCACCGCAACATGGGTTCGAAGCGTTGACGTCCTCGCGTAGCTGTTGATCCGTGGGCCCATGCTGCATGGCCCCGCAGACCAACAGCTACGCGAAGATTTTCCTATCCAAGTCACGCCCATCGTGGATCGCCCGCTATCTCCTCTTCTCGCTCTCCTCAGCCTCGGCGCTGGGGCCTGGCGTGCCCGCGCGGCGCGGGGATTCGTGGCCCGCCGGGGGCAGGCTCGACGGGGTGCGTTTTGGCGCGGAGAAGTTGAAAGCGTCATTGCTTATGTATTTTCTGACGCTTCTCTGCTTGCTGTTACCGCTGGCAAACGCCAGTCCCTGGATAGCAACTAAAACGCGCATGCGGTCACACCTCTTGACGCTTCGCGCATCGCCGCCAGCCCATCCAGGAACGATGGGCCCCAAAGGCGGCCCCAGACGGCCTGAAGACGGCCCAATAGGCGCCCAAGACGGCCCACGACGGCCCCAGCGCGGCCCCGAAGGCGCGCAAGACGCAATACAGCCCCAAGAGCCGCCAAGACGCATCTATTGCCATCTTGGGCCATCTTGGAGGCCATCTCGCGCTCTCTGAGGCCCTCTTGGAGCCATATTGGGCCATCTTGGGCGCTGCTATGGGCCGGGCCCCCCCGTCCAAACGCATGGATGGGGGGGGCGGGCGAGACTCCCAAGCAGGGAAAGTGAGGAGGCTGGAACAGGGAACGCCCTAGACCACCTGCGCCCTGAGGGCTGTCGGGGTTACGTCCGCCCCGCGATCTCTGATGTCGCTGAGGTCCGATTCATTTTCGTGGGGCCATTTTGGCTCCAGTCGCCCATGGGCCATGGGCCATGGGCGACGTCCTGCGGCTGGGCCTCGGCCCCGCTCGCGCCGATGCCGTCGCAGACGCTGCCGCGGGCGTCGCCGCGGGCGCCGCCGCGGGCGCTGCCCCGGGCGCCGCCGGGGGCGCTGCCGCGGGCAGCGGCGGGCAGGGGCACGGCGGCGACGCCGATGCCGATGCCATGCAGGCTGCGCAGAGGCTCGGTTTGCCGCGGCTCGCTGGAGGGCAGAGGCGATTGCCGATCGGCGCGCGGCGCCGCTCAGATGCGCACGTGGAGCTGATCCGCGAGAAGAGGAACACGGCGCAGCATAAGAGGGCAGCGGAGGCAGCCGCCGAGAAGTTCGCCAGGCTGGGGAGGGTCTGGAACCAATGAGTGCTGCGCGAGGGCAACAAGGTCCAGGTGGATAGCGAGTCGGGCCAGAACGTCCCTCAGGATCTCGGCCCGACGTCCAATCGGTGCACGACTGCTGGTACGCTGCGAGTGGCATGGCGTTCTTTAGCCCACAACGACCCCCGCGGCGTGGGATCGAATCGCGTCGACATCCAGACGTGCCATCGCGCGCCGGCGGCGATCACCACCGCGTCCGCGCTGGCCCACAGCGCCACGATGTCCGCGGCGAGCGACGTGCTGAAGGGCATCCAGAGGCCGATGGTCGTGAAGCGCGGGTACGACGCTACCCCGATGCTCGTCCAGTTCTGGGCGATGCAGGTCTTGCTGGAGGAGCACGCTCGGTACTTGATCAACGCTTGGGGCGGCGAGAGATGGGCGGCGGCGCCGCTGTCTGAGCATCGGCGCCAGTGCCCGCATGCCCCGTCCTTGCGCGGGGTCGTGGAGGTGATGGCCGTCCATCTTGAGGTGAGGTGGGTGTCCGACGATTCTGATGCGATCGAGCATCGACGCATCAAGTGCCCCCCAGTGGTGCCCCAGGCTGCCAACGCATCGCGCGCGTTCGAGGCCGTCAGGAATGCCTGCAGGGATCTGGACGTCGATTCGCTCAACAGGGCTTCTGAGGGGCATGGCGCGTGGATCATCCTTGCTGAATCTCCCGGTGCTTGCGGCCCCAATCGTCGGCTCCAAGCGTTCACCCAGTCTCTGTTGGGGCCCAAGGTGTTGCATGTACCTGGCCAATGTCTTGCCCATCGTCTCCATCGTATCCTGGCGAAGCGCACTGCCGAGGAAGATGTTGTTGGATGCGTTCATGCAGTAGCTTTCGTGTTCAGGATTGCGTCCGGGAAGAAACAGTGGCGGCCGGCATTGCGACGCCTGATCGACGACGAGCTGGCCATCGCGGCAGGCCCTGCGGACCCCGAGAACATTGGTCGCAACCGTCTGGCCGCGGAACAGACGTTGCTGAGATTCCACGAGAGGGCCCGCAGCAAGGCCAAGGTTGGCGTCGAGACCTCTCTCGAGGAAGGCCCCCAGCAGACGACGCAAGCGGCGGCGGGTTCACTCGTCCGCAGGCTCGGCGGGGATTGGAGGACCAATCGAGTGATCACGCACTCGCCTGCCTTGGTTGACGACCCGAACGGCACCGACCCCCAGGAGATCCGAGAGAGGGCGCGCGACGAGATTCACGCTGCTCTAACCAGCTCTTTCTTGTTTGGTGGCATTGCCTCAGTTCCATCGAAGAGCAGCCGGGGGACTTGCAGCCATCACCTGGGCGCCCAAGTGCGCGGCGAACTATTCCGCGGCTTGCTCGGCAGGGCGCGCGAGATGGCATGGCCCCGGGAAGCCGCCGAGGTGGCGGCCGACTCCGACGAGGACAAAGACCAGGATTATCACAAGCAAGTGAAGTCCAAGATCCGCAGGACTCTCAAGTGGACGGGCAGCAAGGCGCACATGAGGTTCGCCAGCGTCGTCTCTGCAGCCAGCGAGCCCCTCGACCACCTCCTGATGCAGGCCCAGCACGACTCGGAGGATGGCAACTTCGTGATCCGCCACTTCGGCGAGAACGGCCCTGTGACAGAGGCCATGACCGCGTGGCATGACATGCTGACTGGGCCCGTGGAAGAGACTTCGCTGGGCATTGTGTTTGATTTCTTCGGGGGCGACAGTTTCGAGTCCTTGCATGCGCTGGCGACGCGGCGCTTCGAGGTCGCTCTCGACATGATGGCGCAGATCTGGTTCTGGATCGTCGAGCATTTCAACCGGTTCCCTTTCAAGGTCGCCAAGATGTTCTGCGCGGTTGCGACTCCAGAGGGCGTCCACGCGGTCCTGGGCGAGCTGTTCAGCACGCCGGCGCGCTGTCTGGACTCCGGCTTCACTCGGAAGGCGCTTCGGCTGAAACCCAGCCCGTCCAAATGGCGCGTCTCGAGGGCGCGGGTTGGGCGGCGGGAAGAGGGGTCGCGGGCGTGGCCAGGGGGTTCGTCTGCAGTGCCCCCCTGCGTCCCCTTACTTCCCCGTTTCGCCGCCCCCCCCCGAACACTCGGCGACGAAGCGGTCTTTGATGCCGCATGTGCCCCCCCCCCCCCCCCCCCCCAGCCCCTGCGCCCGCCCCGCCCCGCCCTGGGCTGCCCCCCCCCCTTCCCCTCCGCTTCGACCACGCCATTTCGACGGGCGGTTTTCCCGAGGTCGTGGATGCTTTCCCTGACAAAGACGCTTTCATGAGGGACGAGAGCATGATCACAGAGGCCCTGTTGGCGTGGGCGCGCTCTACGCTGGTGGAGAACATGGGCGTGGAGAGGATGCTCGCTCTCTTCCGCAGGTGCGCCAACTCGAAGGCCCCGCTCATCGATCGCCTGCTGGGGGCTGGGCATTTGGCTCAGCTGCGCAGCCTGCGCGTCGAGGGCGGCGGCAGGGGCCCGTCGACGACGACGCGCGACCGCATCCTGGGCGCCCCCGCCATCGCGAACGAGAAGCGCGCGAAGAAGCGGGCCGCCACTTGCCGAGGTGCCATGCTCTATATGCTTGACGAGGTTGCCAGGCGGAAAGAGGCGGGCATGAGATTGTCCAGGGTCGGGCACTACCAGGAGCGCCGGGCGTTGCTCGCCGGGTTCGCGGACGAGCGCGAGGCGGCGAGGAGTCGGTACGAGAGCGACGCCGAGATGAGGAACGCGGCGAAGCGACGCCGGGATGACGCTGATGATGACGACGTCGGGTTCGACGCGGTCGACTCGTGCGCCCTCGCAGCGGGGCCCCACTTGTTCGGCCTGTCCTCGATCGATGAGCCGATCCGCGTCGACGTCGTCGAGTCGGGGGCGCAGCGCTTGAGCGGCTCCGAGTGCCGCAAGGGCTTCGCGGGGCTGCGCCAGCACGGCTTGGACTTCGTGCGGGGCTTGTTCTGCCCCGACGCAGGTCGCAGCATTTGAGGGGGTCGGAGGAGTGGATGGCCCACCCATTCCTCCTGCCTGGGCGGGGGCCGAAAGGCGCAGGAGGTGGCGGGGGAGGATGAGATGAGAGGGTTTGAGGAGCTGGTGGGGGAGGAAGGGGGGGGGGGCAGGTGCGCTGAGCTGGTGGGCGAGGAGGAGGTAGGGGGGCCATCGTCTGATTTATTTTGGCCGGGCTCGCGAAGCTCGGCCATAATAGGGCAGACGATGGCCCCAGGGATTAGATCGTGCCCCAGGGATTAGGTCGCGCGAGGTTTACCCTACCTCTGCTCTCGGGAGCGCTCCTTTGATGGCGCCGGGTCTCAGCAATCGGCGTCCGCGCGCAGGAATAATCGCCATGGGGTGTTTGTGAGATAATTATTCATTTATCTATTTATTTTGGGACTTGCAGGTTCCGGCAAGTTCCCCCCCCCCTCCAGGATTCACGATCTGCGTGATTGTCGCCACATTAATTTTTGGTTCCGGCAGGTTCCGGCAAGTTCGCCCCGCCGCCAAAAAATAAAAAATAATAATTCCCACAGGTTCACCGACATATATAAACATTGGGGGGCAAAGAAAGAATTATAGCCCCCGGAAGTGTTCGGAGTTGAAATGGTTGAGCGGTTTTTGGGGGAGCTCCGACTGGAGGCCCGCCTCCGGCTTGTTTTTGCGCCCCGGTTTACTTCGGAGGGTTCGGGGAATTCTCGGGAGGCCCGATCGGCGGTTTGGTGGCCCCCTTTCAAAGACACTGGGTAATGAGCGGCCTGTGGTTTCTAGTTGGGGTGATCAGACCAACCACGAGACGTCATCTTCGGAGGGGCCCCACGCCTTTCGGCGGCCTACAGTAAGAGAGGGGGTCGGCGGCGGCGGTGGGGGGGGGGGGGGCGCGCTGCTTCCGCGGCCACCAGGCTGGGCAGAGCCAGTTCCCCTCGTTGTCAGACAGGCCGGGCATTCCAGCTGTCTCGCAGGCCCGCCAGGGGGACGGTGTCGTCCTGGGGCCAGTAGCGTCAGGGGCGGTGGAGTCTCGGGGGGATTTGCCGCCGCGGCAGGCGGAGGCCGCCGACCTGGCGCAGGTGGAGGGCCCGCCGATCGAGGACGCCAGGCCCCGCCAGGAGGACCTGCCGCCCACCGCCTCAGGCCAGACGAGTTTGGACACAGCCATCAGCTTGCAGCATTCCAGAGTCGGGGCGCGGCTCACTCGTTTGATCACCGAGGGGCTGAATTGGAGGGCGAAAGAGGGGGTCTGCAACAGGGGGTCTTCAATGGGGGCTGAATGGCCCATATATGCTCAATGTATCGCTCATGTATGTGATCGGGTACGATTGGCATCCAATTTTGGCGGTCATTGGTGGCCAGTCATTCGTGCCCGCGCGTTGCCCGCGCGGGCACACGCGCCGTCCATCCATTATCGTTCATGCGTGCGGGCGTTCTTGCATATTGCGCGTGGGTCGGCGAAGTGGAGTGCAAGTGTGTCTTGATTGTGCGGTTGATGATCGCGTATGTTCCCAAACGATGACTTCTCGACCCCCAAGACAGATTTGGAATGGGCCCCGCGATTCTCCAAAAATTTGAATTCACATTTTCCTTTTCCCCAAAATGTGAATTCACATTGTTCCCAAAATGTGAATTCACATTCTTGCCCCTTCATAAAGAATCCTACACAAAATTCCAAAATGTGAATTCACATTTCCCTTCTTCCCAAAATGTGAATTCACATTTTCCTTTTTCCCAAAATGTGAATTCACATTTTGCTTTTCCCCACGATGTGAATTCGCATTTTGCCCTGGCCTTCAAGATCCCCAAAACTGAGGCGCAGTGTTCCGCATGCCAGATTGGCTGGGCAGATTTCGACACTCACCCGACCGCTTTCGTGTGTTCCGGCCTGTTCTTGTTGCGCCCTTAGCGCACGTTGCCTTGGTCGCCTTTCCCGAGCCCCCCGCCCCCTTGCTTCCTTTCCCTTCAAGTCTCGCGCGCGGGCGCAGGCGGGGGCTTCAATTAGTTTCCCCGCCGAACGCAGCAATCGAGGATGCATCACCCATTCATGACATTAAAAAACATCATTGCCGGGGCCCTGCGCCCGACCCCCACTTTCACCCTCCAACTGAAGGGTTTCAATGACATGTTTTCGCGCGGGTTCGCCTGGGGCACGGTGCGTTCTGGCGCAGATAGACTTGCGAAGGTAGGCGAGCGATGCTCGTCGTTCTGGAAGGCCCAGTTCAACGCGTCGATGGAGTACGTTAGCGGTCTCGCCTGCGAGGAGGATCTTGAGAAGCAAGGGTTCCTCCACGACCAGTTCCCCTTGCTCCGCCGCTCGTGCAGGGACGTATCAGACTTGCGGCAAGGCAAGGCCACCAACTTGATCACGGGCGTAGTGGATGCGGTGCCCTTCACGGATGGTTGCGCCATGGGTTTCACATGCGGCCCGAGGTCACCTGCCAACCCGAAGGCCCGCTCGAACTTGAACTGCGTCCAGCGAGATACGGACGCCGCGACTAATGAGACCCTCAGGTCGGGCTTGGCCTACATCGAGAGGGCGTAGCCCGCTGTCGCGCGGCTGGAGAACGTGAAGGAGTTGATGGCGAAAGACGATCCCTCCGAGATTTCGGACGCCGAAGTGGTCCTCGCCATGCTGAGGGGCATGAACTACGCTTGCGACGCGTTCGTCTCCGATGCTAGTGTTTACGGTTCGTGGCCTCGTCGCACTCGCCTCTACATCGTCGGCTTCCTCGAGGACTCAGCTGAGAACCGCTCCAGGTTGGATCTGGCGCGCAGGATCTTGGGCGCCATGGGGCGCGGCCCAGGCCGAGCCGCCAATGTGATCATTGCGGACCCGCGCAAGTTACCGGCTTCGGTCGACGACGGCATGTTCCCCCCGAAGAAGAAGCCGAAGCAGGACAGGAAGGACGAGCCAAACTACAAGAGTGAGCACATGGACATCTTCGCGGCCTGCAAGCTCGAGTGGCCTCCGAATCTAGAGCCGTCCGACCCGACCAGGCGTGAGCTCAGGATGGCGTGAGCGTCAGGATGGCAGAGGTCGCCTGGTTCCTCCATCGTCATTTCCCTGCGCGTGAACTTGCTGACGGCGAGTGCGAGGCCCCGGGCAGCAGTCCTCCTCTCGCGAGGCCAGGTGCGCAATGCAAGCACATCGGTACGTGCTGATGTTGCGGGTCTGATGACGTCGAGCTTGCTCACGAGCCGATAGGCTTGCTCGCGCACTTGCCTGCGGGGCGGCGGCCGTTGCTCTCGGATTTCGCCCAGGCCGTCGACGTCAACGAGTCTTTGAGGCGGCTTGTGTCCTTCGAGGACGGCGCTGCCGACATCAAGAACCCCTGGAAGCACCCGCACTTGGGCACGCTCGCCGGGCACTCGCGTTGGCTCCTCCGGCTGCCCGGCAACGGGCCCCGCCTCATGACCGGTTTCGAGTCCATGCGCGCCATCGGCTGGGACGTCGAGGATTGGACTTCCCCCCCCTGCGGGATGGCCGCCAACAGTGAGTTGGGCTGCAAGTTGGCGGGCAATGTTTTCTCCGGCTTTGCATGCGCGGCCTTGCTCACAGCCGCGTGCGCGGCCGGGGGCCTTCCGCAGCGGTTCTTGGACATCAGCGAGATCGAGTTGCCGGAGGCGTTGCAGCCCGACGGCAGCATTACAGTCTCCTCCGAACAGACGGATGCTGGTTGAGCAGCGCCAGGATGATGCGCGCGGCAGGTCTTGGCGCGGCGCGCGGGCTGGAGTGGCCCAGTTGCAGTGACTCGAGTCGATTTTGCGATGCTGGATGCTTGTTTCGGCCAAGCGATCTGGACGTCAGATCGGCAATGACATGCATGCGTTTGATTCTACCCACCTCCCACCTCCCCTGGGAAATGAATCTCCCGCCCACCTCCCCTGGGGAATGACATAGGATTCATGTGATGTTCCACCCGCCTCCCCGATCGATCTGGATGTCAGATGGGAAATGAGATGCAGTTGATTCCTCGCCCACCTCCCCCCCGGGAGATGAAGCGCATGTGCTTTCTCACCCCCTCTTGGGACATGAGATCCACATGATTCCCCGCGAGGGCGAGGAGGGGGGGGCGGGGGGGGGGGGAGGAGGTGGAGGTGGAGGGCGGGCGGGGGCGGACATAGAGCGGACGTGGAAAACGGGGGAAGGGGGGGGCGACAGCGACGAGGAGGCGGGGCGGTCTTGCCCGAACGATCTTGTCCTCGAGATTTCGGCTTCGATCGGTCCAGGTGATTCTCTGGGGCCCCCATCCTTCCCGGGCCTCCAGTCGTGGCCGAAGGCCGCCCAGGGGGCTGATCCAGCGGGTCGCGCGCATCTGTCAGCCACCAGTTGGGTCGCCCTCGTTCCTGTGCTCATCTGGCGCCTCCCCCCGCCCTGTCGTGGAGCAGTGGTGGGGCAGCGTGATTGGTTTCGACGTGGCACGTTTGGGCGCTTCGCGCATCATGGCCAGCCCATCCTGGCCCGCCCCGCGCCGACTCGAGCGCGTCTTGGTGCCTCGTGGAGGCCATGGGGAATCATCGGAAGCATGTCGGAATCATGTTCGGCAAGTGTTTGGCTACCTTGAACCATCTTAAGAATCTTTGGAATCTGGAGGCTTCTTGGACTCGTTGAGGCACTTGAGAAGCGGCCTTGAGCCCCAATGGGACATCTCGGGCCACCTCGGAAGCCCCCCCCCCCCGCCCCATAGCGCCAAGGCCCCCCTCAAGCCTTATAGAATATGAATCCCGTTGCGCCCTGTCAACTCCAGGATCAACATGCCCCGCCAATCCGAAAGCGCTTTAGCGTTCCAAACGCCCAGTGATATTTGCGCGGCAATCCCTCGTTTGCTTCGGCAATTGCAGAGTGCTCCGTGAATCCCCGCGCGCCCTGTGACCTCGTCTGCGCCATGATGTTAAGCGCCGTCAATCCTGGCGTTCCACCAGGCCCCCGGGGCCCAGTTTGATCCCTCCGTATATAGCTACTTTGTTGGTTCAGTCTTTCTTGACCGTTGGGCGCCCGCATTTTGCCGAGGCAGACCTCGGCCCCCGCCGGCCTCGACCCTGCCCGGCGTCGCCTCCAGCGGGCGCGACGCGGCCAGAGGGCGCCGTTTTGCCGTCGCTTGCTCTGCCGCCAGACGTGGGCGGCGCCAGGACGGAGAAGTCGCGCAGGCCGAAGTCGAGAAATCCGGAGGTGTTCGGGGACATGCAGGATTTGGCGGAGGACACCATCGGCGACGGCGCCTCGCACCCCGAGAAGAAGAAGAGGGGCAAGGACGATTGGAACAGGGACCTCCTGGACCACGCGCCATCAGAGAGGGTGTGCAAGTTGTGCTTCGGGAAGGATTCTGACCCGGACCCGTGCGGGCTGCGTCGTTTCAGCACGTGGGGGTGCACCAGGGAGAACGACAGGGGCGAGCGGATCACCGAGGGCGCCGTGTGCTACATCTGCTTGCGCGTGTATCAGGCCCGCTACTTCCCGAAGTGCAAGATGAAGGACATGGCGCAGCTGCTCGGTCGCAGCCAGGATGAGCTAAACAAGTTCAAGAATTTCCCCGAGATCTTGATCAAGAAGGTCAAAGAGGGGAGCACGACCTACCCGAAGTTGGACTGGGACCAGGAGGAGACCTTGAGCCGCGTCAGCGAGGGCAAGATGATCCATGAGGAGCCCGCGGAGCTCCTGATTCCCCTCTCGGAGTACGTGCCGGAGCACGGGGGCCCCCGCGCGAACGGCTTGGGCCATTCCATTGAGAGGAACAGCAAAGGCGTCGAGTGCGCGGTGGCCCCAGGGAGTAACATCGAGAAGCGGAAGCGCCAGCGAGTGGAGAAGGCAGTTTTGTCGAGGACCATCGACAACGGCGCGAACAAGATTGGCGGCGGCCAGCTCGAGGATAAGATGTCTGACATTTGCGACGCGATCCGAGGTTCTTGCAGTTCGGCGCAGGCCCCACAGGGCATGGCGCTGTCGGCATTGCTGGGGGGGGGGGGGGGGGCAGGCGGCAGCAGCTCTGGCTGGGCCATGGCGAGCTCTATCTCAAGTCCTCCAGCGCTGCGGGGCAGTGCCGCAGTTGCCAACAGTCCAGCGAAGCCTTTGACCCCCCCGTCCGGAGCAGCAAGTCAAGGTCTGGGAAGGCTGAGGGCAGCGCGCCCGCCGAGAAGGAAGGCTTGGACGAGATCGGGGACCTTGGCGGCATCACCGCGCGGGGCTTCGGCATGATCGGGCGGGCCCCTCCCGCCCCCGCCCTTGGCCTCGAGGCCGAGCAAGCTGCGCCCGCGGCTCGCGTCAAGGCCGCGGGTCGTGCCAGGACGAAGGCGGCCGCCGCCGCAGGCGTCGCCCCTGCCCCCGCCGCGCCTGCCCCGGGCAGCCAGGCAAAGGCCAAGGCGAAGAGCCGTGGCCGACCACCCAAGGATCACTCGGTCTCCTATCGCGTGGACCTCCAGGAGTTCGCGGCCGTCACGTCGGATGTCACGTTGCCAGGCTTCAGGAAGTTTCTCGGGCCTGAGTGGAAGACGGCGGAGAAGAAAGTCAAGTGCAATCTGGCACATGTGACCATGCGCGTCGACAACAGCGGCGCCGTCGATGAATACGACTTATTCATGCAGGACAAGAAGCGCACCGAGGCCCTCATCACGATCTGCAACGCGCACGCGAAGTTTGACTCGGACGGCGGCGGGAGCTTCTTCTTCACTTGTTTCAGCGAGGCCTGGCCATTGATCACTCACCGCCGCTCGGGGGGATTCGCCTCTTGCCACCGCTCGCGCTGGGAAAATTTGATGCGGGCCCTGGTCGGTCTGGGGGGGGGGGCTGGGCGTTTGTTTGGTTCGTTGCTTTCTGTTTGGCCCGCGCTGGGGCCCGAGTCGGGCAGTTTTTTTCTCGGCCGCGCCCTCGCGCGTCGTGGCATGGGGGCGCAGGGCCCCTCCTGAGTGGTGGTTGGCCCGCGGGCCCCAGGTTGAGAATTTCCTGGCCATGGGGCCAGTTGCACTCATGGAGTGGCCGCAGCCTGTCTTGAAGGAGGTTGCCATTGCGAAGATCACCAGGTCCAAGGGCAGGGACTTCTGGAACGAGGCGATGCTCAAGACACTCACGTTGGCGAAGTTCGATGAGCCCGAGAAGCAGCAGCTTGACTTTATATCTGACAAGGTCTTGGTGATAACGGAGCGCGGCGCTCAGGACGACGTCATCCGCGGCCTCAGCGACCTGCGTTCGCCCATGGAGCTCCGAGGATTTTGTCGAATTCAGCCAAGCCGATGCACGCCAAGTTCGCCTAGTGAAGAACATCGCGGCGCCCGGGCAGGCCGCGATCGATGACCTCATGGAGTCCGTCAACGCTGCGAATCAGGGGGGCCAGGTGATCGCGGCTGCTCTTCAGGCGTTTTTCGAAAGGGAGGCCCTCCGACCGCGGACGCGGCATTGAGAGAGAGGCAGGCTTTGGAGAAGGACGTGGAGAAGATCAAGGGGCTCGCGCTGCAGGTCCACGCCTGCCGTTCGAGGCCACAGTCGCCCATTGGCAGCCTTGTGTTCGCAGAGGACTGCTCGATCACATCAAGCACGAAGCGCGCGCAGAACATTCGCAAGATCCCGAACCGCACGAGTTCGAATGTCGTTGCCCCGCTGCTGGTCTCTTCGCTCAAGCCCGCTGTCGATGCATTCCAGGCTTGTTCGTCGTTGGCTTTGCGGTACCTCGAGAAGTCTTACGCGAGGAGGGCAGACTCCACGGACAAGCTGCAGGCGTTGCTCTCGACGTTCGCCCCGGGGGGGCCCCCGATGAGAACATCCGCATCTTGCTTTCCTGCGACGCTCTTCACGACGCTCAAGTTCGTGAACGCGTCCTTCCAGGGTTGGAAGCGGCAGTCCGCCTGCACGAGCACGCGAAGGACGCAGTGGCCTTGAAGGCGCTAGCCGTCGCAAAGAAGGAGGCGGGCGTGAAGGAGCGGGCCTCGGTGAGTTCGAGGCTCGCCGCCGTGCTCGCCGACAAGACGGCGCCATGGTTTGCTGACGAGCCCTCGAACGAGAAGGTGAGGGCCCTCATTTCAAACGTAATGAGCACGCTGGAGTTCGACGCCAAGCTGAAGGACATGGCCGCGAGTGCCCTCGCGCCCTTGGCCCAGAAGATCGCCGACTCGTACAAATCATTCGTCCCGGAGGTTTCGACGGAGATCCCGCTGGGCGCCGCCGCTTTCGTCGACGGGGTCTTGGCCGCCAGCGACGCGGTTTTGGCACCCCGAACGAATTGCAGGCCATGGAGAACACGGCGCGGGATTATTTCGACCATCGCTTGGGCGGCCAGTTCGGGCTCATCTGCATGATTGGTCTCGCCACGAAGCCTTTGCGCCAGCTGCATCGCGCTGTCTTGAAAGCCGAGAGCCGTGAGGACAGCCGAATCGCGCCCGACCTGGCGAAGTGCGCTTTTGACCAGCGCGTGAAGCTTGGCTTGCTGGAGGGGCCCAAGCAGCGCGTCGACGTGGGCGCGCTCTTCGGCGGCGCGGTTTCGGAGGACGTGCGCGTCGCCACTTTGGACAACCTGGTCGCCATCGGTCTGCCTGAGGCTGCGCGCCAATGTTACGACGTCCTCGAGGCGACGGCCAGTATTTGGGAGAAGGATGTGCCGGAGCTGCGTGGCGCGATCGCGAATCGGATCCCGAGCGGGCTGGGCCAGGTCGCGAAGCGCGAGGACTTCCTCGACATGGATGCGGTGCTCTCCTCCCTGGTCCACAAGACTACAGCCGCTTGCACGCGGGCAGCGCCACGCTGACGAGCATGGTCTTGAACGTCAGGGCGGTCATGAAGGACAACCACGGGCCTTTCATAATAGGCGCGCTTGCCTGGAAGGACGGGGTCAAGACGGAGAAGGCGGCTGCGGATGCCGTCACTTGCACCTACGTGATTCTGATGATTACGTCGAGCATCCCGCTCTTGCAGTCGCCCGCCGGGCGCAAAAGGCGGCGTCCAAGTTGCTGGCGGAGCTGGGTTCTCGGCTCGGCAGGCCCCAGGCGATGGTTCAGCAGAGGATCAGAGATCTCGAGAACGGCGACGCGAGCGCGGCCAAGGACTACAAGGCCATGAAGGAGCAGATGGAGAGCGAGGCTTCCAGGGCGGCTGGCGAAGCCTGAGCTTCCGCAGCTGGGGAGGCCCGCTCGGCGCTGCAGCTGTTCCGTGCTGCAGCTGTTCGGCGAGGCCCGCGCGGCGCTGCAGCTGTTCCGCGCTGCAGCTGACGGCGAGGCTCGGGGAGGCCCGCGCTTCGCAGGCCATGCTCATCTCCCAACTCTTCCCCATATGATCCATCTATTGCCCCGCCCCCTCGTCGTAGCCTTCGCGATTGCTCATCGTTTGAGTCGGGGTTCAATCGGTTGATTCGGCCACGGCCACCCTCGCCACGGCCGCCGCCCGCCTCGCCTTCGCCGCGATTCGCGCGGCAATCGCCGCGTCGCCGTCGCCCCATTCTCACTTCCTGCATCCTTCCTTCCTTCCTGCCCTTCCAACTTGTTACCACATCCACTCTCCTTCGCCCTCCCCCCACCCTGGTCCTCGCCCCCTCCCCCCCTTTATGTGTTGTTCTCTTTTTCTCTCTCTCTCTCTCTCTCTCTCTCTCTCTCTCTCTCTCTCTCTCATCATGTTCCCACCCTCTCTCTCTCTCTCACTCCCTCTCTCTCGCTCCCTCTCCTCCCTCTCTCCTTGTCTCGCTTTCTTTTCCCGTCGAAGTCGCGCCCTGTGTTGATAGCCCGTCGTCTCCTCTTCTCGCTCTCCTCAGCCTTGGTGCCGGATCCTGGCCTGCCCGCGCGGCGCTGGGATCTGCGGCCTTGCGGCCTACCGGGGGAGCAGGCTCGACAATGTGCGTTTTGGTGCGGAGAAGTTGAACGCGTCATTGATTATGTGACGTTCCTCCGCTTGTTGATGGCACCGGCAAACGCCAGTCCCTGGATAGATAGCACCTGAAACGCGCGCGCGGTCGCGCTTCTTGACGCTTCGCGTACCCCCGCCATCCCATCAAGAAACGATCAGCCCCAAAGACGGCCCCAGACGGCCTGAAGACGGCCCAATAGGCCAATATGCACCCAAGACGGCCCACTGCGGCTCCTTCACAGCCCCGAAGAGACGCGAAACAGCCCCAAGAGCCGCCAAGACACATCTACCGCTATCTTGGGCCATCTTGAAGGCCATCTTGCGCTCTCTGAGGCCCTCTTGGAGCCATCTTGAGCCAACTTGGACGCCGGCGCGGGCCGGCCCCCCCCCCCCGCCCAAACGCATGGGGATGGGGGTGGGGGGGGGGGGGCGCCTCCCGAGCAGGGAAAATGAGGAGGATGGAAGAGGAAACGCCCTAGACCACCTGCGCCCAGAGGACTGGTGGGATTTTCCGTCGCCGCGCGTGTTCTAGGTTCGTTCAGATTGATCTCCGGCCGCGCGACTTCTTCTCGCGATCTTAGCTGCCTCGACGCGCCCGGTTTGATACGCAACGCGTGCCGCGTTCAAACCGCCCGTGTCAATACGTTGCGCGTTGGCTCAATGCGTTGGCCGTGTTTTGGCGAACGCATCGCTTCAGACCCACGTTTCAGTCTACGCGTTGAGCCCCGCATCCATGCGCTACGTGTTGCGTGTTGCGCATCGGGGCAGCTAAGCTCACGATTGATTTCCAGCCCTGCGAAGGGATGCCGCCCAAGCAGTATCAGTATCATGCCCCTGTGCCGAGGAGGGCCACCCGTCGCAGGTTCGAGAAGATCTTCCGAGAGCTCGTCATCGTACGCTGGCAGCTCCGTCTCGTCTCTCGCCGTTTCAAGCGTCTGAGGTCCTTCGTCGCGAGCCAGAGGAACGCAGCTGACAGGATCATAGACGAAGATGATATGATGCAGCAGTACCACATCGGGCTCGTGAACCAGATTGCCGCCACGCAGGTCTCGGATTCCGACTGAGAGCGATGCCTTGGCTTCTCCTCTGCTCTTCTCGCTCTCCTGTTTTTCGATTTCAAACGCAGCCGCCCCCTCTTCTCGCCCTCTTCAGCTTTGGCCCAGCTTTCTGCTGGGAGCCCGCAGGCCCAGCAGCTCCGCCAAAGAGCCGGAGCCACCGACGAGCGTCAGGAGCGCCAGGAGGTCTGATCCTCCTTTTTCCTCCTTCCTCCTTCCTCGGTGCCATGTATGTGGCATGTGCGCATGTGCTCCCGTGAAATATCGATGCCGATGCCTCTCGGCATCCGTTCCGCCGCCCGCGCGGCAGTGCAGTCATGTTTGGGGCCGCCGCTGGGCAACGTTGGAGCATCTCGGAACCATCTTGCAACATCTGGGAATTTCTATGTTGGCGTCACAATATCTAGGCGTGGCTATCTATAGGAGGGTCCATGCTGGCAGGAAATTCAATTCTAGATCGTCTGATTTTTTCTAAATTTTTGGAATTCTATTTCCTGGCAGCGTGAGCCCTCCTATAGAGGGCACTCGATCGGGGCGGCTCAACCCATTCTTTCCGTACCCATGTCGGGCGTCCAAAAAGATGTTTTGCCCGTCTGCGGCAAGTTGGATCTAACGAGCGGTCGGGCCAGCGGCGGGACGCGTCCGTGGCCAGTCACAGCCGAAACGCGAGAGGTACAAAACGGGCGAACGAGCGCTTCTTGGCGCCACTGGCGGGGGGGGGGGGGGTCCCTCCCCCCCCCCCACAAACGAAGCAGCGGGGGGGGGGGGTCGGGAACCGCCCCCCCTCTTTCCCCGGAAAAAAGAGGGGGGGGTGCAACCCCACCCCTCCCCTCCCCGAGCCCTCCCGTGGGGGTTCCACCCCCCCCCCACACCCCCCACCCGCCGGCGGCCGCCGACGACGACGACGACGGCGACGACGACGACACATCACATTCTTGCGCCAAGGGGGGTGGGTTCGAACCCCCCCCCTCCCCTACCCCCCCCCTAGCCGCAGGCAGCCGCCGACGCCGACGACGACGACGACGACGACGACGACACATTCTTGCGCCACGGGGGGGGGTTCCACCCCCCCCTCCCCAGGCCCTCCCGAGGGGGTTTCGAACTCCCCCCCTTTACTCGCCGCCGGCAAACGACGACGACCACGACGACGACGACGACGACGACGACGACGACGACGACGTCGTCGCAGATCTGCGCCAGCGCCCGCCCACCCGCGTTGGAAAATAAGGGGGGAGTGGAGCGAGAGTGGAGGAGGAACAGCAGCGGGAGGGCGCTGTGGGTCAGGGCTGGGAACGGCAGTGGGCGAGAGAACGCGAAAAGGAGGGGGAGGAGAAGGAGAAGGAAAAGGACAAGAAACGGAGGAGGAGGAGGAACAGAAGGAGGACGAGGAGGAGGAAAAGGAGGAGGACGAGGAGAAGGAGGAGGAGGAGGACTGAGGAGGAGGAAAGGAGGAGGAGGGGGAGGGGGAGGGAGGGAGGAGGAGGAGGGGAGGAGGAGGAGGAGGGAGGAGGGAGGAGAGAGGAGAGGAGGAGGAGGAGGAGGAGGAGGAGGAGGAGGAGGAGGAGGAGAGAGGAGGCAGACTGCATACGCATCAGACTTTAGTGTCCCTCCCGCCCGACCCGACCCGCCCGATCGGGCTCGCCCGCCCGACCCGCCCGATAGGGTCCGCCCGTCCCGACCCGCCCGTTTGGGTTCTCATGTGTCATGCTGTATACGCATCAGACCTTGGTGTTCCGCCCGCCCGACCCGACCCTCCCGATGGGGTCCGCCCGCCAGACCCACCCGATAGGGCACGCCCGTCCTGACCCGCACGTTACGGTTTTTCCTGTGTCATGCTGTATACGCATCAGATTGTGTCCCGCTCGCCCGACCCTACCGTCCGCACGCCCGGCCCGCCCGATAAGGTCCGCCCGTCCGGACCCGCCCGTTAAGGTTCTCATGTGTCATGCTGTATACGCATCATGCTTTAGTAGCCCGCCCGCCCGACCCGACCCACCTGACCGGGGTCCGGCTGTCCCGACCCTCCCGCTAGGGTTCTCATGAGTCATGCTGTACACGTATCAGATTTTTGTGGCCCGCCCGCCCGACCCGATCAGCCCGATATGGTCCGCCCTCCCGGCCCGTCCGATAGGGCCCGCCCGTCGTCGACGTCGACGTCATCGTCGTCATCGTCGTCATCGTCGTTGTCTTCGTCGTCGTCGTCGTCGTCGTCTTCGTCGTCGTCGTTGTGTCGTCGACGTGTCGTCGTCGTCGCCGACGACGACGACGACACATTCTTTCGCCAGGGGGGGGGGTCGAACCCCCCCCCACCTCCCCAGGCCCTCCTGGGGGGGGTTCGACCCACCCCCCACCCCCTTTACTCGCCGCCGGCTAACGACGACGACGACGGCGACGGCGACGGCGACGGCGACTGCAACGGCGACGACGACGACACGACGAGGACGTCGTCGCAGACCTGCGCCTGCGACCGTCCACCCGCGTTGGAGAAGAACGAGGCGGGAGAGGAGCGGGGGGGAGGAGGAGGAACAGCAGCGGGAGGGGGCGGTGGTCAGGGTCGGGAACGGCAGTGGGCGAGAGAACGCGGAGAGGAGGGGGAGGAGAAGGAGAAAGAGAGGGAGGAGGAGGAGGAGGAGGAGGAGGAAGGAGGAGGAGGAGGAGGAAGAGTAGGAACAGGTGGAAGAACAGGAGGTGGAGGAGGGGGAGGAGAAGGAGGAGAGGAGGAGGAGGAGGTGGAGGACGCGGACGAGGAGGAGGAGGAGGAGGAGGGAGGAGGAGGAGGGGGAGGAGGTGGAGGAGGAGGAGGAGGAGGAGGGAGGAGGAGGAGGAGGAACAGGAGGAGGACTGAGGAGGAGGAGGAGGAGAGAGGAGGCAGACTGCACACGCATCGGACTTTAGTGTCCCTCCCGCCCGACCCGGCCCGACCCCTCGGGTCCGCTCGCCCGACCCGCCCGATAGGGTCCGCCCGTCCCGACCCGCCCGCTAGGGTTCTCATGTGTCATGCTGTAGACGCATCAGACCTTGGTGTTCCGCCCGCCCGACCCGACCCGCCCGATGGGGTACGCCCGCCCGACCCTGTCGATAGGGTCCGCCCGTCCGACCCGCCCGATAGGGTCCGCCCGTCCCGACCCGCCCGTTAGGGTTCTCATGTGTCATGCTGTATACGCATCAGATTTTATTGTCCCGCCCGCCCGAGACGACCCGCCCGTTAGGGTCCGCCCGCCCGACCCGCCCGACAGCGTCCGCCCGTCCCGACCAGCCCGTTAGGGTTTTCGAATGTCGTGCTGTATACGCATCAGACTTTAGTGTCCCGCCCGCCCGACCCACCCGCCCGTTAGGGTCCGCCCGCCCTGCCCGCCCGATAGGATCCGCCCGTCCCGACCAGCCCATTCGACCAGCCCATTAGGGCTCTCATGTGTCATGCTGTACACGCATCAGACTTTAGTGTCCCGCCCGCACGACCCTACCCGCGCGATAGGGTTCCGCCCGTCCCGACCCGCCCTTTTTAGGTTTCATGTGTCATGATGGAAACGCAACAGACTTTAATGTCCCACCCGTTCGACCCGACCCGCCCGATAGGGTCCGCCCGCCCGACCCGTCTGATAGGGTCCGCCAGTCTTCGTCGTCGTCGACGTCGTCGTCGTCGTGTTCGTCGACGTCGTCGTCGTCTTTCGTCGTCGTGTCGTCCTCGTCGTCGTCCTTTCGTTGGTCATCGTCTTCGTCGTCGCCGCCATCGTTGTCGTCGTCATCGTTGTGTCGTCGTCGTGATCGTGTCGTCGTCGTAGTTGTGTCGTCGTCGTCGTCGTCGTCGTCGTCGTCGTCGTCGTCTTCGTCGTTGTGTCTTGCCGTGTCGTGTCGCAGTCGTCGTTGTCGTCGTCGTCGTCTTCGTCGTCGTCGTCATCGTCGTCGTCGTTGTCGTTGTTGTCGTCCGTCGTCGTTTGCTGGCGGCGACAGGGGGGGGGGGGAATCGAACGCCCCCCTCCTTGCACGAGGAGAGGGGGGACTCGCCGCCAGCAATGTTGTCGTCGTCGTTGTCGTCGGCGGCGGCGGCGGCCGGCTGCCGGCGGCGCGTAGGGGAAGGGGGCGGGTGCGGAGGGGGGTTCAAAACCCCCTCGGGTAGATGGGGTGGGTCGAACCCCCCTCGGAGGGCCCGAGGAGGGGGGGCGTCGAACCCCCCCCTTTGGCGCAAGAATGTGTCGTCGTCGGCGGCGGCGGCGGCGGCGGCGGCGGCATCGGCGGCGGCGGCGGCATCGGCGTCGGCGTCGGCGGCGGCGGCGGCGGCGGCGGCGGCGGCGGCTGCCGGCGGGTAAGGGGGGGGGGTTCAAAACCCTCCGGGGGGGCCCGGGGAGGGGGGAGGGAGGGGGGTTCGGACCTTCCAGTTCTTATGGGGGGGAGGCGGGGTGGGGCGGGGGGGTTCTGGGTTGGGGGGGGGTCCCCCCGGATTTTGACCCCTCTCATTAAGATTGTTTTGGAGTGGGGGGAGGGGGCCCCGGTTATTTTACCCCCCCTTCAGATTTTTTTCCAGCATAGCCGCGGTGGATCGCGCTTCCTCAGACGGGAGGAGGAAATGGCCGCGGAACGGCCAGAAAACCGTCAGACCATGCAGACCTTCAAGAGGCGTCCATGCGCCGTGAAAGCACACGCTGCGGGCGTTTTCCTCCGGTTTCGGGTCCCGGGGGTCGATCCAGCTCGAGAAGCCTTGCATCATAATGGGGTCGGGAGTTTGGGTTGCATTCTATGTAGGCCGCTGTTATTCATTCACGACGTCGGACCTTCAGCCCCCACGAGTGGTAGATGTCCTGGGAGACAGGGACCTGGGCCCAGGGCTGTGCCTCCACAGGGCGAGCTCTTCATCCTGGTGATGACTAGGGGGGGTGGATATCATGGCGGGGGCCATGATATTTCCCCAGACTTCATGGCGCCTCTTCTTATTTCGTTACGTCCCTGGCCCACCCGCTGGGCCGCGCACGTGGCGCCGGTCATGATTTGCACCCCCCCCTCTTGGACACCCCCCTCTTGGCCGCTCCCGAGAGGTACCTCAACGACCTGCACGGGCTGGACCTGGACACAAGCACCTGGTACTCGGTGAAGACGAGCGGGGAGAGGCCGCCGCCGCGGGCGAACCACGCGTCGGCCGTGGACGGCTTCCGGCTCTACATCTTCGGGGGCTGGGATGGCACGAAGCGGCTGAACGACCTCTACGTTCTGGACGCCGGCGGCGCGCCGAAGCCGCCATGGAGCAGAAAAGGGTCTTGAGGATGCTTTGCGTGTTATGCCTCCCTGGGCACACCACGGGCCCCGGGACGGTCAGCAAAACGTTTCTGGCTGAGAAGGTGGTTCCGTGGAAAAGATCCGGGATCCGGGATTCGTTTCTCTGAGGACCCGCTACGTTCATGCCGACGGGGGGGGCGCGGCAAGTGACTACAGTCGGCCCGGAGTAGTAGGTCGACACTGCCAAATCAAGTGTACCCTTGTGTCCTGAGTCTCGCGACCCATGCTTCCTACATTCCTGTGGCAATGTGGCCCTCGGAAGGGTCTTGTGTCCTCTCGTGTGTCCTGTCCAATCGAGTCCGACTGTATAAGGGGGCAGTGGACCGACCGCCTCAGAAGCCGCCGCCCTCCGAGGGGGCCGCCCTCGCGGGAGGCCTTCTGAGAATCGCCACGCCTTCTCGGAAGGCCAGAGCTGGACCTAGACGCTGCTCTGCTGGACTTCGGCCGTGTCTTGTGATTTTTTGTTCTGGCAGGGGGGGGCACAGGAAGACAGGCAGAGCAACATGAAGCACAGAACGACAGCAAAAACGAACAGCAGCGTTGAGGTCCAGCCTTGCAGCCCCTCGCCCCACCCCATGGCCCACGTCTCTCTGCTCGAGCCGGCCCGCGGACGGACGATGCGTCCCCGGGGCCCACCCTGGCCGGAGCCGCGCCCTGGCCGCGGCGGTGGCAGCGTCAAAGGCTGGCCCGAGCCTTCCCCGAGCCTTCAGTCGGGCCTGTCCCCCTACAGGGGGATGTTCGACGAGAAATTTAAAAGAATACCCCAAACATACTCCAACAAGGTCAAACAATATCTAAAAAATAGTACCCAGGCTATTTTTGGATCATGTTCTGACTATTTTGGGGGTGTGTTTTATCTTTCGTCGAACATCCCCCTGCAGGGGGACAGGCCCGACTTAGCCCGAGCCACGACGCCGTGGACCGCGGCCCTCCGGGAGGGCGCCGCCCCTCCCCCCCCTCGCCCCGCCCCTCCCCCCCCTCTCCTGCGCGCCGCCGAGGACACGCGGGAGATGGCGTGGTCCCTCCTCCGGCCCACGGGCTGCGCGCCTCAGGCGACTGGCGGGAAGAGGAGGAGGGAGGGCGGGAAGGGGTGGAGGAAGAGGGGGGGAAGGGGGGGAGGAGGGAGGGAGGGAAGGGGTGGAGGAGGGAGGGAGGGAAGGGGTGGAGGAGGGAGGGAGGGAAGGGGTGGAGGAGGGACGGAGGGAGGGAGGGAAGGGGTGGAGGAGGGATGGTGGACACGGACGGTGGCACGCGCGCCGGGGCGTGCTCAGCAGCCGCTAGGTGCTTCGAGGCGGTTGTGTGCAAAGGGGGCTTTGCAGTGACGATAGCGGTTCTGATAGCAGCAATCTTTATCAGTGATCCGGTTTCGTTCTTCACGGCTGACTCCATTGCTCTAGATGAAGCGGTCGAGGTTGTGAGGAAATCCACGCTTGAAATAAGCAGCCGGCCATCCGACACGCGATTTGGGCTTCGAGAAAGAAGGAAAGAAAGAGGGATGGAGGGAGAAGGAGGGAGGAGGAGGAGGAGGAGGAGGAGGAGGAGGAGGAGGAGGAGGAGGAAGAGGAGGAGGAGGAGGAGGAGGAGGGAGGGTTAGAGCGACGGTCAAGCTGGAGGACGTCGGGGGCAACGCATAATGGAGGAGGCTGGAGGGATGCATGAGGGGGGCGGCGAAGAGAGGGACGATGTCGAGGGGGGGACGAAGCAGGAGTCAGGAGGAAGAGGCGGAAGAGAAGGTGAATGAGCGGGAGCAACGGCGGGATGGATGGGGAGGACTAGGATAGGGATCGAGATAGTAGTGTCGAGATGGTGATGGGCATACTACTTACAGCGTTGGACGCTGATGAGATTGTTGTTCTTGTTGATGATGATGATGATGATGATGATGATGATGATGATGATGATGATGATGATGATGATGATGATGATGATGATGATGATTACGACTATGACGAGTGTGATTTTGACAATGTTGTTGGGAAGTTAAATGCGTAGGTTGATGCTCATGATATTGACGATGGTGATCATGATCATGATATCGATGGTGTTGATGGTGATGCTTGTGATGGTGGTGATGTTGGCGATCATGTTGGCGATGGTTTTGCTTGCGATCATGGTGATGGTGGTGGTGATGGGTATCGTCGTGACGGGGACGACGCAGACGATAAGGATGCCGATGGTAATGGTGGCGCGGATGGTGGAGGTGGTGATGCATGATGACGGTGAGGGCGATGATGACGACGATGGCGATAGCGATCATGATGATCATGACGACGATGATGGTGATGCCGGTGGCGAGGAGGAGGGGGAGAACTTCTTGATTGTTAGTTGTTCTCCTTGTGCAACTCGGGCGCGCCTCACCCTCCTCCTGCCCCGTCCCCTCACCCACCTGCTGCTGCTCGTCCTCTCCCCGTTGCGGTTGCTCCTCGGGAATCCCAGGAGACATCAGACAACCGCTGAGCATTCGAGCACCTCCGAAGGCCACCGAAGGTCGCCGACATCCTCTGAACACTGCTTCCCTCCCTTCTCCCTTTTCCTCCCCCCCTCCTCCTCCTCCTCGCCCTTTCCCTCTCTCCTCCTCCTCCTCCTCCTCCCCCCCTCCTCCTCCTCCTCCTCCTCCCCCTCCTCCTCCTCCTCCTCCTCCTTCTCCTCCTCCTCCTCCGCTCACTTCTCCCTTTTCCTCCCCTCCTCCTCCTCCTCCTCCTCCTCCTCGCCCTTCCCCTCTCTTCCTCCATCCCCTTTTCCTCGCTCCTTCTGTCCCCTTCCCTCCCACCATCCCTCCATCTCTTTCCATCGCCTCATCCCCCTTCCCCTCTCTTCCTCCTCCCCTTCCCCTCTCTTCCTCCATCCCCTTCCTCCTCCCTCCAGTGCAGTCTGCCTCCGCCTCCGCCGCTCGCAGCGTGCCGCAGCGCCAGGCGTGCGCACCGGCCCTGCACAGCTGCCAGAGGGATCGACTGTACTGACCCTGGGCCTGGTTGCCGTAGGTATGCCTGCCATTCTGCATGGCACACATCCCCCCTCGTCGATTAGATCAAGGGGGCTCGAGGAGGAGGAGGAGGAGGAGGAGGAGGGGGAGGAGGGGGAGGAGGAGGAGGAGGAGGAGGAGGAGGAGGAGGAGGTGGAGGAGGAGCGCGCCACAGGCGAGGGCGGGGATGACCCTGTCCGTCGTGCGGGATTACCTGTACCTCTTCGGCGGCTCCGGGCACACCACGCGTTGCTTCAACGACGTGCACGTGTACGACCCGAATGAGCGGGCCGCCTCGGGGGTGAGCCAAGAATGCAGTCAAAGCGTAGGAGGAGGGGATGGGAGGGCAGAGGAATGGGATTGGAGAGGAGGAGGAGGAGGAGGAGGAGGAGGACGACGACGACGACGACGACGAGGGAGGAGAAGGGCTCGGAGGTGGAGTTGGAGGAGGAGGCGGGGGGAGGGAGGAGGGAGGTGAAGGCGCCCGCGCTTGCCGAGAACTCCGGGGGTCCGGGGGTGATCCTCGGTGCTTCGTTGTTTTGAGTCTCCACGATGCTAAGCCCCCAGATGGACGGGACCATTTCGGGCAGAGCAAAACGCAGTTTGCCTCCTTATGCCCGCGGACTCCAAGTCCGCGAACGCACGAGCCAGAGCCTGTTGGCCACAGCGAGAAATTGAGGACCGAACGAAAAAAGATTAGCCTGGCGAAGAACCCAACCATCTGCAGTTGTGAGTACCGCAGCTGTGGGTTTCATCTTCAGTGGAACTCCCCATAAGACCACGGAACGTGTGAGAAATAAGCCAAGATAAGTGCCACTGGGGCTTTCAATGAAGCGCCCTATGGGGCCATGAAACACGTGCGGGGTGTGCCAACATGGGTGGCGGAAGCGCATGTGAGGGCCGCCACTGGGGCCTCCAGTGGAGCTCCCTATGAGGCCCCGAAACATGCGGGGGGGGTGCCGGGATGGGTGGCGGAGACGCATGTAAGTGTCACCACTGGGGCCTTCGGTGGAGCTCCCTATGGGGCCGCGAAGCGTGTGAGGAGTGTACCGGGATGTGTGGCGGGGGCGCATGTGAGCGCTGCCACTGGGGCCTTCGGTGCAGCTCCCTATGGGGCCACGAAACGGGTGAGGGTTGTGCCGAATTCGGTGCGGGTGACGCATGCGGGCGGCGCCATTGGGGCCTCCGGTGAAGATCCCTATGGGGCCACGAAACCTGTGAGGGGCGTGCCGAATTGGGTGGTGGGGACGCATGTGAGCGCGGCCACTGGGGCCTTCGGTGGAGCTCCCTATGAGCCCACGAAGCGTGTGAGGGGTGTGCCGAAGTGGGTGGGTGTGGGTGACGCATGTGAGCGCCGCCACTGGGGCCTCTGGTGAAGCTCGCTATGGGGCCACGAAGCCTGTGAGGGGAATGCCGATTTGGGCGTGGGTGACGCATGCGCATGTGAGCGCCGCCACTGGGGCCTTCGGTGGAGCTCCCTATGGGGACACGAAGCGTGTGAGGGGTGTGCCGAATTGGGTGTGCGGGACGCATGCGGGCGGCGGCACTGGGGCCTCCGGTGGAGCTCCCTATGGGGCCCCAAAACGTGTGAGGGTTGTGCCGAATTGGGTGTGCGGGACGCATGCGGTTGGCGGCATTGGGGCCTTCGGTGGGGCTCCTTATGGGGCCACGAAACGTGTGAGGGGTGTGCCGAATTGGGTGAGCGGGACGCATGCGGGCGGCGGCACTGGGGCCTTCGGTGGTGCTCCCGATGGGGCCACGAAACGTGTGAGGGGTGTGGCGAATTGGATGTGCGGGACGCATGCGGGCGGCGGCACTGGGGCCTTCGGTGGAGCTCCCTATGGGCCACGGAACGTGTGAGGGGTGTGCCGAATTGGGTGTGCGGGACGCATGCGGGGCGGCAGCACTGGGGCTTTCGGTGGAGCTCCCTTTGGGGCCACGAAACGTGGCAGGGGTGTGCCGAATTGGGTGTGCGGCACGCATGCGGGCGGCGGCACTGGGGCCTTCGGTGGAGCTCCCTATGGGGCCACGAAACGTGTTTGGGGTGTGCCAAAATGGGTATGCGGGATTATGACGATGATGGTGATGACGGTGATGATGACGGACGACGACGACGACGACGACAACGACGGACGACCGACGACGACGGACGATGATGATGATGATGATGATGTGATGATGATGATGATGTGATGATGATGATGATGAGACCCGGTGACGACGACGATGATGATGAGATGTGATGATGTTGAATGATGCTGTTGATGATGATGATGATGATGATTGATGATGATGAGATGATGATGATGATGACGATGATGATTGATGATGATGGTGGTGTGGTTGGTGGTGATGATGATGATGCTGATGCTGATGATGATGATGCTGATGATGATGATGATGCTGATGATGATGATGATGATGATGATGATGATGATGATGCTGATGCTGATGCTGATGCTGATGCTGATGCTGATGCTGATGCTGATGCTGATGCTGGTGGGGGGAGGGAGGAGGGGGAGGAGGAGAGGAGGAGAGGAGGGGAGACGTCTCTTCAAAGCGACGTCTCTTCAAAGCGACGTGTCGACGTCGCTTTGAGGTGGGGCGACGTCTCTTCAAAGCGAGGATCCAGCAACACAGGTTGGTGGGGAAAATGACACGACGGCCGCTCGCGGATGCGGTTCCTGCAGAGCCATTGGGCGTGCCAGAAACAGAAAACGAGAGCGAGCCACATGCCGCAGTCCGTGTTTCGAGCCGCGTCCAGGTTCAGATCACGACACGCCTCCCTGGCCGTGCCGCCCCAAGCCACCCGAGGGGCACCACTCCCTCGGGCGACTCCACACCCCCACGCACGCCACGGCGGGGCACCCTGGCCGTGGGAAGGACGGGTGTGGGATTCCGCATGAGCACCCCGCAGGGGACCCGCTTCCCGCCCAGGCGCACGCGGGGCACGTGCCCTGCCACCGCAAGGAGTGGCGAGGTGACGAGGGGGCAAGTTTCTTTCCCCCTGGCCCCCGACTGGCAAGCAGGGGCGACGAACGGGCTGCTACCCACCCGTTTTCCTGAGACGGGGACCCAGTTGCACAGGCGTCACCCTCGGGGCTGCGAGGAGGAGGAGGAGGAGGAGGAGGAGGAGGAGGAGGAGGGAGGAGGAGGAGGGGGGCTTTGACTATACTTAGCTCGTTGCAAGTTAGCTTGAGCGCAGCGGCCAAAAGGACTGGCACAGGCTGCACACGAGAAGCCCGAGAGCATGGACGCTGAGCTGCTTCCGCTGTCGTCCTGAAAACTGTCAGGAGAGAGGTATTGGCGCTGGGGGAGGGGAGGAGAGGATTCATAACGAAGGAGGAGGAGATAGTAGCGCCGTGCGAAGAGAGACATCAGCGGCACCCTGCTTCCTTGCCCATAGAAGGGCAGCCCTCGATGCAGAGAGCAGTGCGAGGCAGGAAAAAGAAGAGACCTGCCTAGGAGTGCCTTCCGAATTTCGGACTGCTATTAAGCGGGAAGAGCTGGACGGAGGGCCAAAATGGCCAGGCCGCATTGCGGCTGTCCAAACCTCCATGGGAGGAGATCTGGACTGAAGGAGGAGCAAGGGAAGTATAAAGAGGCGGGAGAGGAAGACGGGCCGGAATGACATGGCCGTGTTGCAGGGCGTACGCTGCAGCTGCGGCCTGTACGGGCCGACCGCGGCGGGGAGGTGGGTGTGCCTGGGCGCTAGCCGAGACCAGACAGCAGAGACCCACCTCCGTGTGGCCCCTCACAGGCACACAGGGACCAAGGGGACCCTGCTACACCTGGACGGGGGCCAGAGAGACAAGCCAAGGCCAGTGCCGCGTTCCTCCCACGAGGCACATATGTTTGCCGCGGCCATGCCTCAGCCGCGCAGCCAAGACGCACTGGAGCATGGTGCCTGTCTGTATATATGGCACCTTTGCTGGCCGCTTTGGCCGAGAGTTACTCGGCGGGGCTGTGCTGTAACATCGTTAGGTAATGAGCTGCCAAGGCGAACCAAGAGTATTAGGCCAGCTCGCCACCTAGGAGACTCAGCCGTGGCGAGTCTGCGAATTGCTGTGTGAGCAAGCCGATCGCTGTATAGCGATGCTGCTAAGAGGTGCCGCGTTGGCCTCACTTGTGCGGCAAGGTGGAAGGTCGAGCCCCTGATTGGCAACGACTCTTGCACAGGCCCTCCAAGGGGGGGCCGGTAAAAAGCAGAGTGACTAGGTGGGCTGCCGAGGTATGTATTAGGCTGGCCCCGCCCCTGTGTGGCGCATTGGCGGTTGCATCATGGGCGCCCATCCCATATTGCCTGAGATGGTGCCGGCTGGATGCCGCACAGTTAAAGGCCTTACGGGCGCTGAAGAGTTGCAGCTGCAGCTGAAAGGCCTGTGCGGGCCGTCCGCGACGGGGAGGTGGGTGTGCCTGGGCGCTAGCCGAGACCAGACAACAGAGACCCACCTCCGTGTGGCCCCTCACAGGCACACAGGGACCAAGGGGACCCTGCTACACCTGGACTGGGGCCAAAGAGATGCGTCGGGGCAGAGGCCACGTTCCTCTCATGAGGCGCTGTGGCTAGGACTGTCTAGTTAGTGAGCTGCCAGGGCGAACCACGAGTATTAGGCCAGCCCATCCCCTAGAGACTCCGCCGTGACGAGTCTGCGAATTGCTGTGTGAGCCTAGCCGATCGCTGTTTAGCGAGGCTGTTAAAATGTGCTGCGCTGGCCGCACTAGCGCAGCAAAGTGAGAAGTCGCGCCCATGAGTGGCGACTACTCCTGGGTAGGGCCCCCTAAAAGAGGGGCCGGTGGAGAAAAGAGCGCTAGGTGGGCTGCCGAGGTAAGTATTAGTCGGCTCCGCCCCTGTGTGGCACATTTACGGTAGCACCCTGGGCACCCATCCCAAATTGGCCTGAGATGGTGACGACTGATGCCGCAAGAGCTGCAGTGAGAATGTACGCCGGCTTGGCCGGCCTTAAATTGGAGACGCGGTGTCTCCTTTATAAGAGTTTGGCTAGCAAGGAAGGCTTGGGCTGTGTAGGTGGTGGGCTGCAGGCAAACCAGAATCTGAGCATTGTGCTAACCCACCACCTATGCGTGAGGACTCAGCCGTGGCGAGTCTGCGAATTGATATGTGTGAGCGGCGCTCAGCCGCCTCACTGTTAGCGGGGCTGCCCAAGGTTGTAGAGCCGCACAATGACTGGAAGGGCTGGATGCTGCTAGACTTGCGTGGCATACAACTCAGCTATGCAGGACGGCTCGACCGACCTTGAGTAGGAGCGGCATGGCTCCAGCTGTTTAGGTGGTGGGCTGCCGAGGTGGAGAGAAGACGCTGAAAGGATGAGGCAAGGAAAGTATTAGGCGAGCCCACCACCTAAGTATGCACGCTGCTAGTGGCGCCGAGGTCGCTTAGGTCGACCTAGAAGGGCGCTGATTGATGCGTCATTAGCGTGGCTCGCTCAGGCACTGAAGGGCGACGGGTTGAGAGAGCGGGCGGCAGCAGAGAGCGCCGAGAGACCTGCCGCTGTCGCCGCCGCACGCGCCTGGGCCTCTTGCGCGGCAGCCTGCTGCTGGTTGTAGTGGTTCCTCAGCATGGCCTCCACCTCAGAGATGGTCGCCAGGCCTGGGGTCTCGATCCACTCCCAGTCCCAGGTTTCGACGACCTGGCCGTCGATGACGTCCAGCGACTTGAGCTTCCAGACGAACGGGTATAGCATGCCGTTGGGCATCTTCCATTCGCCCGGGTAGGTGGAGGGCCACCACTTTTTGAACTCGCGCGTGGCGGCCGTGCATTGGGAGCCCTGCCAAGCCGAACCAGCACAGGTGTCCCCTGAGAGGCCGAAGAGCTCCCGCGTGTCAGGCGACGCCCTGCTGGCCTCGGCCGCGCCCGCCTCCGCCGCAGCCGCAGCGGAGCCACCCGCGGGAGGCACGGGCACCATGGCGGCGTGGGGCGCGCAGTTAGAAGGGGGGGAGTGCCGAGGAAGCAAAAAGAAATAGCCCATAAGCCAACGGCGGCCAGATGTGAGTGAAACCTAGCTGGCCTGTGCTAGCATCTGCGTGAGGAGGACCCTCCTGACGGGCCGACTGATGCACGGCTGGCCTGGTGCGGAGTCTATAGGGATGAGGATGTTGCCGCTACGCATGTTGACCCGCAGCGCAAGACCGGTGCGGTAGGGTATGCCCGTGCCAAACCCAGATGGTTCGGTACCAATTTTTATCGGTAGCACTTGGAAGAGATCGGTCGCGACCGAAATTCGAAACAAGCATTCGAACACCGGTCGCGACCGAAATTCTCATCTTTTGCGAATACCGGTATTCATTCGAGGCTCGCAAGAGCTGAATCGGTAGCGTAAACACGAACATCTAGAGATGATGCTACCGAAAATGACAGACGCGATACCGAAAATTCGCTACCGAAAATTCGGTCACACGCGCTGCGTCTCGCAAACATTGCGACGCAGAAATACGTTCAAATGTATGGAGCAAGCGCTACATACGTAAGATACCAAACGCTTGGGGCAACGATCCTCGTGAGGGGCAAGCCGAAGTGGGAGGACTTGATGATGTGATGGTTATGTTAGAGCTAGGTAGTATGCAGGGAACGTGGAGGCAGAGTAGTGGCAGCGGGAAGATGATGATAATGAGATGGAAGAGGAGAGGAGGAGGAGGGGAAAAAGGGAGCTGGACTCGGGGAAAAGGAGGGAGGAGGAAGGAGGAGGAGGAGGGGGGGGGGAGGAGGAGGAGGAGGAGGAGGAGGTGGAGGACTTAGGCAGAAGACCAATGCAGATATTGCCCTCGTCTCTTTCATCCCTGCCCTGCCCTCCATTGCACATTTAGCTTCTTGGTTTCTTTTTGGCCCTCGCGGGGTGACCATGTCGCACCCTCGCCGTCACCCGACGGCCGAAGTGGACGGCGACCTGCTGTGTCAGTCGCTGGCCACTTACGTCAAGGACATAGGCTGCAAGAAGAGCTTCGTCCTGGGCCATTATGAATTCTTGCGGCGCGACTGCGCCGTGCACTTGCCGTCGCTCGCTCGCATGCCGTCGCTGGTGGTTCGGGATCAAAGAAGGAGGAAGAGGAGAGGGACTAGGAGGAGGTAGCAGGAGGAGATAGGAGGAGGAGGAGGAGGAGGAGGCATTGGGACGTAGGAGGAGGAGGATGAGGAGAAGCAGGAGGTGGAGAAGAAGGAGGAGGAGAATGAGGCAGGAGGAAGGGGATGGAGGAGGATGCGAGGAAGAGGAAGGGAGGAGGGGCAGCAGATCAGGAGCAAGGTCCATGCCCCCCCCCCTTGGGCCCAAGGTAGAGGTCCTCATCAAGCAGTGCCCCGCCCTGGAGGCGAACTTCACCGTCCTCCGGACGGCGCTGCACAGGGTCATCTTGCAGTGCCCGCTTTCTTCCTCTCTCCTTCCCCTCATCCTTTCCTCCCCATCTTCCCCCTCCTCCTCCAACTCCCTCCTCCTCCTCCTCCTCTTCCTCCTCTTCCTCCTCTTCCTCTTCCTCCTCCTCCTCCTCCTCCTCCTTCCTCTCCTCCTCCTCCTCCTGCTCCACCCTTTCCTCCTGCTCCTCCTACCTCCATCCTCCTCCTCCTCCTCCTCCTCCTCCTCCTCCTCCTCCTCCTCCTCCTCCTCACCCTTTCGGCAACTAGATGTGCAAGAAAAGGGTACAGGGGCAGGCGTGGAGGGGGGTGGCCCCCCTGCTACACGGAGAGCCCGCTCCGTATCCGTCCTCCTTCTTCCCCCTCTTCCTCCTTATCTTCCTCCTCCTCCTCTCCGCCATCCTCCTCCTCGTATTTCGTCTCCCCCTCATCCCTCTCCTCCTTCTCCTCCTCTTCCTCCTCCTCCTCCTCCCCGTCCTCATCCTCATCATCCTTCTCGCGCGCTTTTCGAGGTATCCCACCTGCACCTCGGAGAAAGCGACGGCGGCCCCGATCGCAAAAGCAGGGTCGTTGGCGGACAAGGTCGGCGTGATGCTCAAGCATCTACGCCGAGTCCGCGACGATCCCGTGCGGTTGCGACAGGCCCGTGTCGATTTCCTTTGTCGCGTCGTGCCTTCTTTGGGCGGGAACCGCAGTTCGCGGTTCCTACCCGAGAGGGCAAGCCGAACCGACGAGGCCCGTGTTTCGCGGGTCTTGTTTGTTCAGCTCGCCTTCCTACCGTCCTTCGTCGTCTGGTCGTTTCCCTTGGGGGGTGGGCCTGCATGCTTCCTCAGCTGCTCCTGAGTGGAGCCTCAGAGGAAGCATTCAGGGGCCGCCAAGGGGAGACGTCCGAGGGCGGATGAGGGGATTTCCCAGAGGCTGTGACTGGCTGCACACGGAAGGAGGTCGACGCCATGAACTATTTCCTCCACTTGATGGGGGTGGCGCCGACTCCAGCTCCGCTTTCGCGCAGGGGCTCGCGGGACGTCTCTCGTTCGAGGGCGTCGTCGCGCCGGGCGTCGTCGGCGGTCGCGCGGGCCGATTTGAAGAGGGATTTGGAGGAGGAGGACGAGGACAATGATGATGATGATGATGAGAAATATAGGAATCGATGATGGAAATAAAAAAATGTATTGATAATGAATAATGAATGATGATGATAATGATGATATTAATGGAAATGATGATGATTGATGATGGTGATGGTGATGGTGATGGTGATGGTGATGGTGATGGTGGAATGCATGATGATGATGATGATGATGATGAATGAAGAATGATTGATGATGATATGAGGGAGAGGGCGAGGAGAGGAGGAGAAGGAAGAGGAAGAGGAGAAGGAGAGGGAGGTGAGGAGGAGGGATGGGAAGGAGGAAGAAGGAGGAGGAAGGATGATGAGGGAGGGGGGAGGAGGGGGGAGGATGAAAGGGAAGAAAAATGAGGTTGTCGTGAAAATAATAACAAAGGTGAGGGGGAGATGGGTGAGGGGGGGAGGGTGACGGGGAGGGCGAGGGGGGGGTGAGGGGGGGGAAGATGGCGGTGGTGAGTAGGAGGACGAGGCGGGAGCAAGGAGGGATGTCGGGCCTTCGGGTGAACTGCGAGGCCCCCATCGCCGACTCAGACCGCGATGGCGAGGGCGAGTGCGACCTTTTGGATGACGAGGACACGTTTTCTGTTCCATGTATGTTCTGTCCCTGGTCTTCCCTCCTCTTCCTTCGTCTCCTCGTCCTCATCCTCCAAATCATCCTCCTCATCCTCCTTATCCTCCTCCCCCTCCTCCTCCTTCTCCTCCTCCCCATCGCCTGTATTACGTCTGTCTTACGTCTGTCTTACGTCTGTATTACGTCTGTCTTACGTCTGTCTTACGTCTGCCTTGCGTCTGTTGTACGCCTGTCTCATGTCTTAGGTCCGCCTTATGTGTGTCGTACGTCGGTCGTTCGTTCGTCTCGCGTCACCCTCCTCCCCTCCTCCTCCCCCATCCCCTCCGCATCCTCCCCTCCCTCCCCTCCTCCTCTTCCTCCGCCGCCCTTCCCCCCCCCACACACACACACACACACACACACGCACACACCTCCCCCTCCTCACTCCCCCACGCCCTTCCGAGAGGAGGCCTCGGAGCAGAAGTCCGAGGGAGAGCCCGAGGGCGAGGGGGGCGACGGCGCCTCCGAGCCCGAGGCCTCCGAGAACGAGCCCGAGGATGAGGAGTCCGACGAGGAGCTGGAGGACATCGAGGGCGTGGACATGGACGACATCGAGGATCGACCGCCCCCTTCTTTCGGCCCTGCGCATCGGCGACCGACGGCAGTCGTTCACCCTCCTCACCTTTCGTTGCAACAGCCTTCTCCCACCCAATAGGTTCCTCCTCCTGCTTTGTTTGCACACCCTGAATATCATGCGCCGCCCATCCTTCTCCCCCGCCGCCCCATCTCCTCTCCTCCCCGACCCTCCTCCTCCTTATCCTCCTCCTCCTTATCCTCCTCCTCCTTATCCTCCTCCTCCTTATCCTCCTCCTTATCCTCCCGTTATCTGTAGTTCGTCAAGTTCAGTTCCGTTCAGTTCAGTTCGGCCCAGCTCAGTTCGGTGCAGTTCGGTTCGGTTCAGTTCAGGTCGCCTCAGCTCAGTGATCCAATTCAGTTCAGTTCAATTCGGTATCCCAGTTCAGTTCGATTCAGTTCAGTTCATCTCGGTGTAATTCAGCTTGTTCAGTTTAGTTCCTTTGTTTGTAGCTCGCCGATCTCAGTTCGCAACTAGCCATTGGTGTTCGAGATCTTCGTTCGCGCGCGGTCGCGAGCATGACGCATCGCGTGTCGCGCGAGCTGGCGGAGATGGCGGATGAGCTGTTCGTGGAGAACCGTTGGGCTCGGCTCCGAATGGACTCGAATTCTCTCGTTCTGAAGATGATCGACGAGATCTCGGGGTGCCTGATGGCGATGAAGCCCGATCGGCGCGACCTCGCCTTCCTCGAGGTGTCCGATGGCGTTTCGCTTTCGGAGGAGGCCAGCTCGCACGGGCCATCTGGGGAGAGGGCCACCCACCCCACGCCCGCCAAGGACCCCCTTCCCCTCTGCCCCCGACAAGGTGGCCCAGAGGATTTTGAGCCACTGAACTTAAAAGCTCGTTCCCATCCACCCCCAGCCAGAACCCCCCTCCCCTCCCCCCCCCAGGTCGCGTGGGAATAGAGGAGGGGGTCCGTGGCATGGGTGGCGGTTGGGGGTTATCCTCTCCTCACCGTCGATGCCGTTCGCAGATCGGTTCGGGGAGGGCCAAGACATGACCAAGGAAGGGGGGTACACGTACATGTTGTCCTTGGTGATGCGGCTCCAGGAGGGCTCGACGATGTGGCTGTCCCCCCTGACGTCGTCGTGGGTCGAGGGCACCCCCAGCGCGACCACCAGGGCGCTCGACGCGATCGACGGGGACGAGACGGTGCCCGAGGTCGCGGAGTCGAACCTTCGAGTTCGGCGCATGGTCGTCGCGGGGGCCATCGCTTGGCTTCGCGGGGCGCTCTGGGCTCAATCGACGCACCTTCCCCCCAATGCCTCGTCCGCCCGCCCGCCCCTGTCGACGTAGTCGGGGGCTGGCGGGGGTTGACGTAGAGGACTGGTGGGAGGAGGAGGAGGAGGAGGGAGTGGGGATGGCGGGGAGGAGGAGGAGGAGGAGGAGGAGGAGGAGGAGGAGGAGGAGGGGGGAGGGGAAGGAGGAGAGAGAGGAGGAGGAGAGGGGGGGAGGAAGAGAATGCGGATGAGGAGGAGGAGGAGGAGGAGGAGGAGGAGGAGGAGGAGGAGGGGGAGGAGGAGGAGGAGGAGGAGGAGGAGGAGGAGGAGGAGGAGGGGGGGATCGTGTGGCTCCACTCTCAGGCATACACGTGCTGGGCGCACCCAGAGGGATCCTTGCTGTGGCTGTTCGACCCCATGGAGAAGCTCAAGAATGTTGTCGGCAGTGTCTCGCGCGTCACGCACTTGTCGGCTTTCGGGGCGGAGATCGTCGGGGCCATCGAGATCGTTTCGGACAGCATGCACTTTCGAGATCTGGCGAAGGTCGTCGATTGGAGGGATTGATCATGAAAAGCTGGTGGGTTCTGGTTCTGACCTGATGTTGGTTTGGGAAGTTGCCTTTAGAGATTTGCGGCCCTGGGGGGCCGCGGTCGCACTCTCGGGGAAATCGGAGGCCCAGGAGTTCAATGTTTGAACCAGGATGAAGTCTGAGACCCCGTAGTTCGAAATCTGATTCAGGACGAAATCTGAGGCCGACGAATTCGATATATATATATATATATATATATATACATACATATATACATATATATACATATGAACCAGGGTGGCATCCGAGACCCAGGGACCCGAAATCTGTTTCAGGGAGAAACCTTGGGATCCAGGAGTTCGAAGTCTGAGCCACGGTGATGTCTGATACCCAGGGTGGGTGGCTTGATTTCTATTGAGGTTGAGCCCCACGGTGACCTCCCCCACGCGGTGCCGACCAGCGGCGTTTATCCTGCTGAATTTGTTCAGTACGTCGGGGAGGTCGCGCGGAAATTGTACGTTACCCATCCGTCCCGCGAGGAGCCCGATAGGGCGCCCGCCGATAGCTCTACTCTGACCAGTGCGAAGCTCGCAGACGTCTTGGATGTCGTTTCATCGGTGAGTTCGGAGTCGGACGTCGGCCAGAAACGGAGGCGCATCACGTCCAAAACCAGCCCGTCGCAGGACACATCTGGGCGTCCAACGATGGTTTCCATTTGCCCTCCCCTGGGGCCCAACCTGCCCTCAATCACGCCCCTCCACCTCCGCCATGTTCGCACCCTCCCCCCGCGCTGTCCCCGAAGGAGAAAGATTAACCCAGGGGGCGGGGGCTCAGAGGAACTAAGATCAGGAGGATGATATGGGGGAGTGGGAGGTAGGAGAAGAGATGAGGAGGCCAGGCTGGAGGAAGGGGGAGGGACAGGAGAATGTTCGGACCCTCCAGGAGAAGCCCAAGTCGCCTCGCCTGGAGGATTCGCAGCCGCCCCCGTCGCCGCCGTCCTACTCGCAACTCCAGCAGTCGGTCAGCGGCGCTGTCGGAGAGGGCACGGCGGCGGCAATCTTGGTGCTGAAGCGCCAGAGTGATGGCCCTCCGCAGAAGAGGCCTCGCGTGTCAGATGGCGGCATGGTCAATTGGGCCGAGCGGTCCATCGCTGAGAGGATCCAAGTTCGGCATCTTGGCATGAGGATCCCCAGCCCCAGGATCGAAACACAGGAGACGCTTGAGCAGACGCCTGCGCCGCTGGGCACGAAGGGCGCGGAGCAGCTTGACCAGACGCCTGAGCCGCTCGCCAACGAGCTCACTGCGAAGCAGACTGACGCTGCGCTCGGCCCCGCCGACGCGAAGGGCGATGGCGGGGCGGTTGCCGTGGTCGCAGCAGGCGTGAACGCCCCCATCACGCCTGACAGTTTCAAGAGGCTCAGGGAGCCCGCGCCAGAAACACAGAGCAGCCTTAGCATGTCGCCCGAGGCCGTCCAGTCACCTGTACCTTTCGGCAACGGCAGCCCCAGCCAGTACAGTTTCTGCCAGGGCTCGGCTGCGCCACCAGACATCTCGGACCGCGAGCTGTCAGAGCTCGCCAAATGGCTGCGTCTTTAGATTCGGCGCGCGTTCTCCGTTTTCTGCAGCTCAACGGCTGTGTTGCTGCTGCTGCGGAGGAGGATGAAGACGAGGAGAACGAGGAGGAGCAAGAGGATCATGAGTATCGTAACGCGCAAGCTGGCTCTCCACTTCGCCTGCGGCCTCGGCTGTGCGCAGGCTAGACGCCAGCCCACCAGCCGTTCTGTTGCTAGCCGATTGCACTCGCAACATTGGTAGTGCAAGCTGCAACTGGTATTAACGCGCGGGGCTGCGTTCAGTGAAAAACCTTAGCCCTTCCCTACTTGAGCCCAGCATGACTCGAGGGAGGAGAGGAGAAGCAGGAGGAGGCGAGAGGGAGGAGAAGCAGTAGAGGACCCCCCCTTGGAGCATACTTGTGGGTCACTGCCCCCTCCCCCATATAGAGAATCCCAATGCGGGCCACGGGCGGCCACGGTTTGGAGCGCCCCCCCATGGATCCTTCCAGGGAACCTTTTCCTTATGGTGCCCCTCATGGTGAGACGCCCTCCCTTATGGGGCCCCCAATGCCCGCCCCCCCCCCCCCTCTATACAGCCGCCCTGATGTCACACCAATGCCCCCCTCCTATGTGAAACTCACCCCCCCCCCCCCCCCCCCCCATATACAAACGCCCCGCCCCCATGCAGCCCAGCCCACGCATCCCCCTTCTCTCGCCCGCTCCTACTGTCCTCGCTCATTCCCCCTCTCGCTCACTCATGCTTTCCCCCCCCCCCACGCATCGCGCACTCACTCACTCACCCACCTTTGGTACACTCCGTGCGTGTCCCTTGGGCTGCTTCCCTCAGTCGTGGGTTCATTCGCAGTCTCAGCGCAGATTCACTCTCCCTTCCCTCCCAAGCGTGCTCCGATTCCCACCGTCTCCAAGCGACAGAGAGGCTCGCTGTCAGCAGGTCGTATGCCTAGTAGTTTTGTATTGTTTTGTTTGAGGGGGGGGGGGCACGGCATCGGAGGCCAGAACCTGACATGGACGCCCGCGGCCCTGGCAATCCTTGGTCCGACTTGTGGTGAAAACATTAACCCAGGGATCGGGGCTCGAAACAATGTGACCCTTGTAATCAAAGAGCGAAGGCAGGGTGATGCACGGGGAGTGGACGGGGCCCATTGATTTGCGCGCCAGGACATGTTCATGTGGATGCGCGACACGCCCGAGAAGAAGCCCAATATCACGCCCCAGAAGCATATGATCCGCAGCTTCGGCCCGTCTCGGAGCACCCCATCGCCTCTCCCTGCGCCTGGTGGCGCCAAGGATGAGCTTCTCCGCAAGGCCAAGGCGGCCGCGGCGGTCCCCCCAACGAAGGCCGAGGTCAAGGCCAGCTCGTGCGTTGTTTTGTTTGTGGCAGGTGAGGGAACAGCACGGCGCAACGCGAACAATGTATTTTGTGCAACACACTAAACCAAGACATTGCACGAAACAGCCAAAAGACGCACGGCACAACATGACACGGCACGACAGGAGGTCGCTTTGAGCACATGCACGTTTCACAATGATCGGTTTGAAGCGCACGCTTCAGTTTCATTGTTCACGTGGTCGAGCTTACCGACCAGAACTTGTTATCCAGTACGCGTGACGGCACAGCGCTTTTGCATGCAAGGACGTACATTTATGATGATATGTGTGGCGCGCGGCCCCTAGGGCCTCGAATGTTCGCACCTGTCACGGACGAGTGAGGTGGCGACGGGCGACGCAAGGCTGATGAAGATGATAGGATGGAGGAGGACGGGCGATGAGAAGGAGCTGGGCGAGGATGGCGAGGAGGACAATGATGACGATGATGGCGTGGACTGGTATGATGTGGAAGAGGGCCTCGAGGAGGAGCTGGAGGACATCGTTGGCCCAACCCGCCTTGATTGATCACCTGCATAACATAGCTTGCAGGCGGTCATCAAGGCTGGCAAGGGCACCACCAGCAAGGGTTCGCAGAAGAACAACACGAACAGCAACAAGAAGGAGCAGAACATCAAGGGGGTCTCGCTGAAGCACAGCACGGGCACCAGCAAGACTGGCAAGAGCGAGGAGGATCTCCAGAGGGTCTGGCTCCACCCAAACTTCGGCGAGCTGCGCGCTGCGTTCGGCTCGCAGAAATCGTACACTGTGTTTTCGGACGAACAGGGCAAGCCACGTTTATTCGTGGAGGTCAACGAAAGCCAGACCTCGGATCACGCCTCGATCCTCGGCAAACTCATGAAAATTGTGGTTTCGAAAAAGCTTGACAAGGTCAAGACGAGGGCCCAGAGGGACAAGCTCTTAGCAGAGCTCTGAAAGCCAAGTTGCTTCGGAGGGGATCCGTTGCAGGAGCAGAATCTTTTGTGAGCAGGGGGCGCTGTTCTAGATAAAGATAGTTTCTGTATTTTGACATAGGGCGACGCATAGCGCGTTGCCCACGCGCTGGGGACTTGTATCTCGATCTCCAGAGACTTGCTCGCTCGGCAGGAAAGCACATGGAGTAGCTGCAGGGGGGATTTGTTGCGTTTTGAGGTTTCCCCCCCTGGATTGTGTACAAATGGGGAGGGAGGATGAGATGGAGGGAGGAGGTCGGGGATGGGGAGGACGATGAGGTGGCGTTGGGGAATGACGAGGGGGGTTGGCGAAGCTCCGTCGGAAGGTCTGCCCCCCTAATCCCCCCTCCCCCGTAGATTATGCGAGGTCACGTCGGGTGTCCAGGACAAGGGGCTCAACATCCGTATCAGCAGGGCGGTGGTAAAACATCTCAGGTCGTGGCCCACGACCCAAGCACTGAAGAACGATGCCCCCTCGCAATGATTCAGACCCCCCTTCGTCTCGTCATTTATTGCGCCCCTCGCCCTCCCTCCAAATCCCTGCTCCTGCCATTGCCTCCCCTGCCCTCCCCCTGCCTCGCTCACCGCCGTCTCCTCCCCCTCCTGCCCCGCTCGCCTGCCCTTCCTGTTCTTGGGGTGGCCTCAACACGTCTGACGCTGGCAGCGCGGCACGGCAGCGTTGGCCCGAGTTCCTCTGGCATGAAGAAGCCATTTCGAGTAGCTCCTTACATTCCAGAAAATCTGGACAAGACGTCCCTGGCTTGCTCGTACCTTCCAGCGGCTGATGGCGTATCTAAAGAGACCATTCTGCATCAAACGCATATTCGTGTATCTGTTGGTCGGAAGTGGCTGCTGGCAAATCCCTATTGGTACTGGAAAGCTGAGCTCCCCAACATCGTCGTCAAGAGCTGTTGCCCCGATGCGTACATCTCCCGATGGTTCATCGGGATTCAGAAACAGGGGCAACGATTCGAGCCGACGATGTTGAGGGTGGATCAGATCAGTCGCGCCCAGGCTTGCTAGCTGGACATTTCGTCGCCCCAGGGAACTCCCACGATGCGGCGGACTCGACAACCCAGACGACGACGATCAAGATGATGACAGACACTGACGTGCAGGTTATGCCTTTAGAATCATGAAATCACAGACAAGGGAAGTTTTGCGAGATCTGGTGAAGGATCGTTCGGCACGACATGCATGAATGCCAGGGACAGGGAGTTGACATGTCTTAGAGCACTCGAAGACTACTATATCACATGATTCCTGGAATTATGAACCGCTTGTGATTCGGATTGATCGATGAATGTTAGAAGTGGGATTGTTAGTGTTATGGATAGTTTCAGTCCTTGTAGCTGGTGGCATTGATAGTACGTGTGGTGATTTTGTTTGGCCAGGGAGTCGAAGATGTTACAATCGATAAGTAATACAAGAACAAAGATCAAAGAGTTGTGGTTTGAAACTTGTTGTGTGTTTCGCATGTCGTTTTCACATTCAGTTTGTTCGCCTCAGGGTGCCTTCGGAGTTCCAGGAACAACATGCGGAATTTCGCAATTGGAATTTTGAAAATTCAATAGAGAAATACATGTTGAATTCAAAATCAAGATATTTCGCCTTAGGGCACCGCTGGAGTTCCAGAGAGAACATATGATTGCACAAACCCATGTTAAACTCAAAATCAAAGTTTTTCGCACCAGGGTGCTGCTAGAGCTTCTGCGGTAACATGTGAAATATTGTGCCGCTAGAGTTCCAGAGTTAGCATGTGAGATTGTTGATTTGTCTTTGTTTTTAAAAACACCGTATGCAAACACATGTTGAACCCAAAATCAAAATTGTTCACCTTATGGTGCCGTTCGAGTTCCAGAATTAATATGTGATTGTGTTGATTTCTGTTTCACGTTTTTATAAAAACATCTCAACAACGCATGTTCAACTCAACATTAACATGTTTCACCTTAGGGTGCTGCTAGAATTCCAGAATTAACATGTGAAATTGTTGATTCTGTTTCACAAGAACCTCATAAACACTTTTTAAAATCAAAATGCTTCACCTTAGGGTTCCGTTAGAGTTCCAGAATTAACATGTGATTTGTTTTGATGTTGTTTCAAAAAACCTTACAAACACATGTTGACATCAAAATCAAAAGTGTTCACCTTATGGTGCCGCTAGAGTTATGGAATTAACATATGAGTTTTGTTTTATGTTCATGCTTAAAAAACCTTGCCAAACACATGTTAAAATCAAAAACAAAAAAAAAAAACACCTAAGGGTACCGCTAGGATTTCAAAATTATCATGTTGTTTTATTAGTTTCAAAAAAATAATAAATACATAAAAAATACAAATTTAACGAAACACATATATTTCGAACTAGTCAGCTATATCATGTAATATTACGTATGTCTTACGTTTGACAAACGTAAGATATCCGATCTTACGTTTGTCTTACGTTTGTCTTACGTATGTCAAAACCGACATACGTAAGACAAACGTAAGATATGATATCTTACGTGTGTCAAACGTAAGACAAACGTAAGACATGATATCTTACGTTTGTCAAACGTAAGACACACGTAATATCATATACGTTATCTAAATATTTGTAAATATAGCAATACCGACTATTAATATTTATTTTCATATATTTTTGAAATACCAAATTCAATAAATATATCTGTTAGCTATAAAACTATATCGCCATCTTCAGGCGAATCAGTTTTTATATTCAATTTAAAACTAATTTATAGAATTGTGGATTTGTTCCTTGGTTCAAAAAATAACAACATATCCAAAAATGTAACATGTTATCTATAGAACTCTAGCGACACCTCTTATGCGAAACAGTTTGATTTTGAATTCAACCTGTGTTTTCCTTTGGGTTTTGACATAGCTTCAACAATTTCACATGTTACCCTTGAATTATATCAAGACCCGAATGCGAAAACAAAATGAATGACGACTATACATGCACAGTTAGATCTGTAATTACGAGTAGACATGGCCAGTAAACTAGCAACGTGTATACGTCATGTCGTGCCGAACATCATGGTCCACTGTCTTTTATTGGTTGCGTTGCATTGCAAAATTGATAATGCCTAAAAGTTTCATCAACTTGTATGTTGTCACGCTTTGTTTTCTATATGTTGGCGCTAGACGCATGAATTTGCATTGCATTGATGGATCAGTTTCATGGGTTGCGTCATCGATGCTGTTCTTGCTCAGGCCTTGGGTTTCTCACCAGACATCCAGATACAAGCTGGTACAGCTTCCTTGCGCCCGCCCCCAGCTATCAGATTCGATGGCGCCCAAGAAAGCTGTTGCGAAGGGCAAGGCGAAGGCAGCTGCCGCCAAGAAAGACACCCACCCCTTCAAGGTTGGTTTCGTTTAAAAAAAAAAAACAGCCGCTCAAATCAGGGAGCACGGTCGGCTGCTGACCCTAGTAGCCTCGCCACTACACGTTTCAAACTCAGCCCTCTATTGGTTTCGAATTGAATGCACCCTGGGACCCTGGGTTCGCCTAGTATATCACGTGGATAACGTTCAGCGGCCGCCCCCCCCCGCCCACGTTAAAAAACATGATGACCCGCTCTGAGGTCACCCACAAGAAGATCCAGCAGAAGAAGGGCGAGGCCTGCACGACGCTGGCAGTCCACGGCGCCAAGGGGACAGCGAGGGTGAATCTGACAAACGAGTTCCAACATTGAAAGAAATATGTTCTGGGATGTCGTGGTCCTTGGGCGCGGGCAAAAACTAGGGCCCTGGGACGATGCGCGAAGATGTCGCAGGCCAGTGGTGGAGGATGGACGACATCAGATGATGAAGGAGAAAGATACGCAGAGAGAGAGAGGGGTAGAGAGAGGCAGAGACAGAGGAGAAAGAGAGAGATTGAGAGAGAGAGATATTCATAGAGAGAGATAGGTATAGAGAGACACAGACAAAATGAGAGAGAGAGAGAGAGACGATGTCAGATGAGTTTAAATTGCTGTTCCTTTTTTACCCAGGAAGGCCTTCTCTGGATTGCGTGAAACAATCACCTCTCCCTCTCGCCTCCCCCCTGGTGCCATCAGGGGGGCTGGGCGCGAGCCGTCGGAGGCGGGATCGCGAGGTGGAGTAGGTTGGGAAGGAGAAGATGAGGAGGAGAGGGGGATGGGGGAGGATGACGAGGAGGCGGGGGAGGAAGCGGCGGTTGAAATGGAGGGGGGAGGGGGGGGGGTTGGAACCCCCTCCGGATCTTACGAGCCCCCCCTTCCCCCACCCCCCCACCCCGCCCCGCCGCCCACCCACATCCCCCTCCACCGATTAGCGCGCCATCCAGAGTATGCACCCCTTGCCGCTCCTGGTTTCCATTGGATGGTTCGTTACCACGCAATAATAACTTTGGGGCCCCGAGGAAGAAGACCGCGGACTTGGTCCGCATGTGCGAGGGCAAGACCACGGATGAGAAGGTGGCCTTGTTCAGGATATGTCGTATGCAAATTGTGTCATGACATGGTCTGCATTGTCAGTCGCCGCGTTCCTTCTATTTGTGAGACAGTGGTGTAGTAGATTGATCACAGCCAGTGCGAGAGTTAAGATATTCTTGGCTTGGGGGCAGGTTGGCATATATCATTCACCTTTTTGGGATGTTTTTGCGCAACCTGGCGGGGGATACCCTCGAATGTTCTTCAGGTTCAGCAGAGGGAGAGATAGCGTTCTTGATGAATGTTCTTCTGTCCTCGCGCGCATTGTTTCCTGCTATGTGATATCTTAAGTCGGCGAAGCATTTCGCCCAGCCCCTGTCCTCCCAGGACACCTCTCGACAGGACGGATCCTCGACGCTTCTTTCGGTTTGCAGTTCGAGCGGGGCCTTGAAGTTTCAACGGATTGGCAATTTCGTTGGCCCTGGAGCATTCGGGGTTCTGGGTCAAAGCAATTTGTCATGGATTTCACTCAGGCCCTTTATGTTTTGTCGTAGATTTCACCCAGGCTCCTGAACGCCAGGCTGTGATCTGTTTTTTCATGGTTCCCACCCCTTGCCTCCCTTGAACTCATGGCGTTCATTGCCGCCCGAGGAAGCACGGCGACGACAGCAAACAGATGCGGGCGATCTTCAGCGCGGACGAGATTCGGGCGTTGTACGGCAAGTTCAAAACGGCTCGGAAGGACCAGGAGGACGTGGACACAGAGTTCTCTGGCCTAGACGACAAGGGCGATCGGGAGGGCAAGAACAAGGCGAAGTTCGAGTACCTCACAGCGTGGGTGAAGGACTTTACTTCTTTTGTTCTTACTCGTGCTCTCACCCAGTTTTGATCATCTTGTTGCTGAGGACCCCAAGGCGCGCATCCCCAAGGTTTGCCAGCGCGTCTCGGAGTATAGGGGCATCAGCAGCAGTATGGCCAACCCTGTAGTTGACGAGCACTTGTTAGCGTTGGGCGGCATTGGAAGGGAAATGGTCGAGGGGGAGGATGTCGTCAAAGCCGTTCAAGATTTAGAAAAATCGGCCCAGGACCCAACCATGGAGGAGAAATTCAAAAGCATGGTGACGAGGGTCGCCACTGGCGAGCGGATCTCCCGCAAGATGCTCTGGAAGCCCTGGAAACAGATGGTCGACAAGCACGGCGAGGAGGAGGCCCAGGAGCGGGTGGACGAGGGCTCCATCAAAGTGCCAACGGGATTGTAACCTCCTCCTCCTCCTTCTCCTCCTCCTCCCCTCCTCCTCCACCTCCTCCTCCTCCTTATCCTCCTTCTCCTTCTCCTCCTCTTCCTCCTCCTCCCTCCCTTCCCTCTGTCCTCTTCCTCCTCCTCCTCCTCCTCCTCCTCTTCCTCGTACTCCACCTCCTCCTCCGCCTTCTCCTCTTTCTCCTTCTCCTCCTCCTCCTCCTCCTCTTCTTCCTCCTCCCTCCCTTCCATCTGTCCTCTTCCTCCTCCCCCCCTCATCCTCCTCCTCTTCCTCCTCCTCCCCTCCTCCTCCTCCACCTCCCCCACATCCTCCTCATCCTCCTTCTCCCTTCTTTTTTCCCTCAATGCGCGTGGTTTCAAACCTGCGGGTTGCTAGCGCCGCTTGGTCCGTCGTCAGGAGGAGGTGGGAGTGGAAGGGGGATAAGGAGGAGGTGGACTCAGGACGATGAGGAGGAGGAGGATGAGGAGGAGGAAGAGAAGGAGGAGGAGGAGGAGGATGAGGAGGAGAAGGCTGAGGAGGAGGGGGACTGAGGACTGAGGAGGAGGAGGAAGAGGAGGAGGACGACAGAGGAGGAAGAGGAAGAGGAGGGAGCGACAGAAGCGGCGGCCACGGCGACGCACGGATCAACGACGACGACGTTGCCGCCGACGACAGCGGCGCCCAGGTTCGCCGCGACCCCTCGCACCCGCGGCGCAAGCAGTTCCTCGACATAGAGGACTGCCACGAGAAGTCGTTCCAGAAAGAGAAGCAGACTGCCTTGAGCGGGAGGAGCAAGGCGACCGACGAAGAGTTCGCGGCGATCGAGGGCGGCTTGCGGAAGTCGAAGTTGTGCGACGACGTGCGCAGAGGATGCGTTTCAAAAATTGATCATTGCTGATCCTCCTCCTCCTCCTTCTCCTCCTCCTCCTTCTCCTCCTCCTCTTCCTGCCTCCTCCTCATCATCCTCCTTCTTCTCTCCCCCCCTTCCCCTCCTCCTACTACTCCTCTACCTCGTCGTCCTCCTCCTCCTCCTCCTTCTCCTCCTCCTCCCTTCCCCCTCCATCCCCCCTCCTCCCCCATGTAGGGGTAAGAGGGGGGAGTGGAATTGATGAGTGCCTGTTTGGGAGGGGGAAGGTCGCGGAGGAGGGCGGAGGAAGGAGGATGAGACAGGAGGAAGGTTGACAGGGCGAGAGGTGGAAGGAGGAAGGAGGAAGGACGAATGAGCAAGGATGAGGGTAGGGGGAAGGAGGAATGAGGGTGGCACGTAGGCAGGACGATAAGAGGAATGACGATGAGACGCCAACAGCCGAGGAGACTGGGACAACATGGGCCTGGACCTCAAGGACGAGGACGAGGACGACCACGCGTCGGACCCCGAGGTGACAGGCCTCCGCGGCCGTGGCCGCGGAGGCCGTGGCGGCCGTGGCCGCGGAGGCCGTGGCGGCCGCCAGGACCATCTCTGGTAAAACTCGGAGGAGGGTGAGGGGGGGTAGGACGAGGATGAGGAGGAGGAGGAGGATGAGGAGGATGAGGAGGATGAGGAGGGGATTGAGGAGTAGAAGGAGGAGGGGGACGAGAAACATCCTTGAAACAATTTGAATCGTTTGAACGCTTCCGAGAGGTATTTGCATCCAAACACTCGCGCGCTCCGACTTTTCGGATACGCGTTTCAAAGACGCTCCTGGATGCGTCCCAGGGTGTTCGCAGTTCGTTTCGAATGCGCTTGTGACGCTTCCAGTGCTGTTGACGGCGCCTGGAGGCGGGGGAGGAGGAGGAGGAAGAGGATGAGGAGGAGGAGGCGGAGCAGGAAAAGGAGGAGGATACGAACGGGGAGGAGGAGGAGGCGGAGCAGGAAGAGGAGGAGGAGGAGGAGAAGCATGAGGAGGAGGAACGGGATTTTGAGAGGGCGCCGCAATGCCGAGGACAAGGACAAGGAGAACACCAAAGAGAAGACGTGGAAGCAACTTGCTGATGGCAGCGGGGTGGAGGTGATCCGCAACCACGACCAAGCCAGGAGCCAGACCGCGGCCTTCTACAAGGCATCGCAGGCATCGTGTCGTCAAAATCGCTGCACATATGTCGGGCTTCTCGGTTTACTTGCGGGGAGAGGGGCTTGCTGTAAAACGCTGCATCGACGACGGTGCCAGTTGTTCAATCACGCTGCCGCACGGAACCTGGCTCGCGCAGAATTTGTTGATTTTTCACATGGAAACGCGAACAACGCAGCATTGCAAAACCACATTAAATTGTATATGTGTTTGTCATACCTTTCTGGTAGTTCTCATGGGCAAAAAAAAAAAAAAAAAACAATACATGCCGCCCGCGGCCACTCGTGCCTGGCAGCGTGGTTGAACAACGCGGGGTCGTCTTGTTTCATTCGTGGCAGAAGCCGTCTCAGAGGCCCAATTTGAAGACCCCTTCCACCTCCTCATCTTTCGTCTCCTCCTTCTCCTCCTCATCCTTCTTCTCCTCCTCCTTCGCCCCCTTATCATCCTTCCCCTCCTCCTCCTCCTCCTCATCGTTCTCTGATTGTCCTCGTTGTACTTTCGCCAACAGCCCTTGCATTGGGCTCACCCCTCTCGGACGCACGTGTCCCCCTCCCCCCCCCAGCGCCTATGGCTTGCAGTACCCTTTCCAGAACTTGTTTATATTTTTCCATGCAATCGCTCAATGCCCCCCCACCTGTTTGTTGAGAAAACGAGCTCCTGTTTCTCTCCGACGGTCGTCACACGTCACGTCGCCTTCCTGCATCCTGTGCGGACCTTGGTCGCGCCCCATGCCGAGGGTTTCATCGACTTCTTGCAGGCCAAGATGCGGGCCGCGAATGGGACGTCCTCGAAGGGCGACATCGGCAAGGCCAAGAAGGCGCGCTGTCATGGGTTGATGTGTTTTCAAAGGGGCCCAAGGGGCCCGACGTTTCAAAGGTGCCTTGAAGGTTCGGGGCGCCCTCGCACGAAACAGGTAATCAGGGCCCCCACATGAGCGTGTATATTTGTCGTCGCCGTCGCGAGCTCCCCACCCCCCCCACCCCCCCCCCGCCGTCGGAATTCGTTTCAGTTGGGGCGCCATTCTTTCCTCGCGCCAATGCGTCTTTTCGGCCTTTTGGTAGCCTAGAAGGGGCCGAATTTGATTCAATATGGTCCAAGACGCATTCAAAACATCTCCATGGCGGCCTCCATTATGACTCTCATTGCCCAGGAAGAACGGCTTATATGGCAGCCAATATTGAAACATGGCCCCGTCAAGGGGCCATTCTCCTCGTCTCCTGCGCCCCCCCCTCCACCCGCCGCTTTCTCCTTTCCGCCCAAGGTGATCGACCAGGCCCGCAAGTTCCAGGCGGAGCTGGGCGACTACCAGGCAGAGCGCGCCCCGTCCATGGAGGGGATGCGCAAGACCTGCGTCAAAATGAGGGAGACTTTCGCGCTCGGCAAGAAGCTGAAGATCGTCGTGGGGTGATTTCGTTTCGATTTTTTGGGAGGCTGGTCGGTGCCCACAATATGTTGGCCGAGCGCTGAGTAGACGTCGTCGTTCACGGCTGGACTCGGCTCGGTCGCGAAACATTCAATCTGGTTAAAACGCATGGTGCAAGCTATTGGTGGGCATGCTTGCCACGACCACCGCCACATGTTGGAGGTGGAGGGGGAGAAGGAGAAGGAGGCGGAAGTGGAGGAGAGGGGGGATGTGAAGGGGGAGGAGGGCGAGGAGGAGAGGGGGAGGGGATGGAGAACCTCGCCTTCCTCCTCCAACCTATGGTCGTGGTGGCGGAAAGCATGTGTACAGTAGGGGCCCCTTCCAAGAAACCATCTGCTTCCATCCAGGGTGCCCTGGGTTTCTTGGATTTCGATTGGAGCCGCGATGGAAAACGTGGCGCTCGCACGCCCAAAACGGACGGGATTCGTAGGGTTTCAGGGTTGGGTGTCTTGCGGAGGTTTCTTGTGGCCGCGCCCCTACTGTATGTCTCTTGCTGGGAACCGACTAAAGCCTCGACTGGCCGCCTGTCGCCTGTTCGTTCAGGGTCGGGAAGGAGCGGGGGGTGGAAGAGGCAAGGGGTGGATGGGGGCGGAGCCGGTGGGGGGGGCGAGGCGGCGCCAAAAGAAGGAGGAGGACGGGTGGCAAGACAACGATACCCTGGCATTTTAATTGTGTCCAAGTCCAGGGGTTGAGTGCGACAAGGCCGATCAGGAGCGAATCATGAGTGCGTCGGAAGATTCGCCAGCTTGCGCGTCGCCGAGTCTCGGCGTGAATGAGATCGCCAAGGGGGCGCCCTGACACCCCTCCACCATTCCCCCATCCGCCACTCCCCCAGAAATCTTACATTGGCCTCCAGAAAACCTCGGTCCCCCTGGTGCGTCCCACCGTGCCGTGCGAGCCTGGGTGCGATGGACGTCGTGCCACATGTGTTTGCCCACACGCTTGTATCTCTCGAAAGTTGGGCGGTTCCCCTTATCGATCTCGTTCCTCGTTCATGGTTTATTGCGTTCCCTTTGAGCCCGTCATTTGTCACCCTCAGTTTTCTCATCACTTGTGATCGGTCTGCGTGGCCGCCCCCGCCCTAGGACCTCCGATGATAGCTTTCTTTTCATATCCGAAGCCCATGTGGCTTAGGTGTGCGCGCCTTGATGCGGCGGTGCATCAAAAGGCGTTTAGAACCCGACACCCCCCCTGACTCCGATTCCAGCGATCGCGATGATGTTGACAACACAGGCCGTCCTACATACGCATCTTTATCAAGCGTGTTGCTGAAGGATTGGGCCTGGGGGAAATTATTCAGCACAGATGTTCAGAGATACGCGCACGCGGCTCACAGGGACGGTTTGCGTGATTCAGAGCTTGATAGCATTGCAGCACTGGGATCATGGGGCGCTTGCCCATCCAACATCCATCGGCAATTAACCAAAAAGTATATCAAGGGGAACACACTTCCTGAGCCCGAAATTTTTCACGTACCTGCTAAGGACCCGAGAAACAACAACATGGTTGAGGCCGAATGTAGCGCGCTGCTCCCACACGAGATGTTTTCATCTATGTTCCGCCACCATAGAGACACATTCAACGAGATTTACGGGGTCGAAGAATTGCCAACTTTCTGGAGGGGCGCATCCAAGTCCGACCCGCGCCTGAAAGGTCATCCTATATGGGGGCTCTCTCCGCGAGAACGCCTACTATCGGTTCCCCTTCGCATGCATGGGGACGGGGGGGAGATGCAAACTAACGATTCTTTGATGTGCGTTTCTTGGACGAGTCTGTTGGCAACTGGAACTACTCGGGAGTTGAGTATGTTTGTTTCTGCTTGGCCTTATTCGTGCACTGCGAAGGCTCGGCACGACGATAAAGACACGTGGCTAGAGATTTGGGAGATTATTTCCTGGTCCCTGAATTGTCTGGCGGACGGCAGGTTCCCCGTGGCTGATTCATCGGCTACGCCAGTCCGCGTCCAGAAGGCATTGCAACGGCGTGCGGGGGAGGTTCAGGGGTGGCGGGAAGGGGGAATTCGGTCCGATTGCGCTTTTGCGTTTTTATGTCAAAGATGCTTATGGCGAGCGGGGCAGAAACGCAGACGCGAGCGCGGTGTGTGACAGGACGGAAAACTAGAGGGGCGAAAGGTCGGGAGACAGGGGGAGACAGGGGGAGGAGGGGGGGATATGGGTGAGGCAGCGCGGGGAAGGGCGAAAGAGTAGGTACGACACAGGATCTCACATGCCAAATATCGCCGCGCATTGGCGATGGCGGGTTGGAAGGGGCGTCCGTTTGAAGCAGGTTCGCGTCGCGCCGATGCGGCAGGCGAGTACTTGTGTTCTGCTGAATGCCCTTACAGAGGGTTTATATACGGCGTCCTAGGCTTCGGTCGCAATGAAAGCATCACTGCAGTGTTGTCCAGAAAAACACGTATTTCTGGTTTGTGTTTCATTGTTGTTTGTTGCAGTACCTGTTTGGGTTCGGGCCCCAGGGTGTCAGTGCGTTCCAACTGAACGTTGCATTCGTTGCGACCACCCGCCTAAGGGGACATGGAGTTTTTCAGCTCGCACTTGGGCACGCCGTGGCCAAACGACGCTAAGATGTGCTGGCTCTGCGAGGGGGACAGGGATTCAATGCCGTATAACAATTTCATCAAGGAATCCCTCCCCAGGCACTGGATGCGATATCGACGGCGAACGCCTTATGCGTTCGCACACCCGTTGCTTCGAGTTTGGGGCGTCACAGGGGAGTCACTCTGTCTAGACTCGATGCACACTGTTGATCAAGGTGTATGTTCACACATTTTAGGGAACATTCTGAAAGAAATCGTATACGAGCAGAGCCCTGCGCCAGCGTCGGCGGCGTGTGATTCCATATGGAGAAGGATTCGAGAAGTGTACGAGGAACGACAGGTTCCCCATCGAATCACATTAAACTGCTAACGCATTCCCGACGACCCCAGGAGGGAATGGGAGGCAGGAGAGGTTGGAGTGCGCGGAATTAGCGTACGAATGTGCGTGGCGCTGAGGCAAGGGCTTCATGTGCTTTCGAATGTGCGTGGCGCTGAGGCAAGGGCCTCATGTTGAGTAAAAGCGCCGCGCTCGGTGGACCAACCAGCTTAGGATAACCTTGGCGGGCGGACATTTTGGGTTGAAAAGCTTCGTTGGCGATATCAAGACCCCGCATAAGGAATACCCAGTACTCAAAAAGGCAATCAAAGCGTCGCACCAACGTTGGCTGGCTCCCATCATTACCCAAATCTGCGGCGAATACGAAGACGGCACCGATTTGAAGCGGATGCGCACGATGTGTGCTCAGGGCCTGTGCACTTATTATGACTGCATTGAGTCAGGAGATATGTTTTTTGGACAGGGCTTGCGCACAAAAGTTGCAAGACGCTGTAGAGACATCGCTGATTATGTACCATGCCCTTGCATCGAACTCGATGGCCAATGAGGGCAGGAGAAAATGGAGTATAGTCAACAAACACCACATGTGGTGGCACATAAGTGAAGGCGCTTTTTTTTGAACCCCAGATACCTATGGTGTTACATGGCGGAGGATTTCATGAGGCACGTAATCAAGATAGCTGGTACTGTACTAATGGGGTCATCGAGTTTAATGCTCAGCCGAAAACTCTGCGAGCGGTGGCGCATTGGAAGGTAGCACGATGGCTTCGCCATTTGCCGCGATGGGGTTGGATTGAGGGACGAGCGAGGGTTGGATGGAGGTGTGAAGAATAGGAAGGGAGGGCATCGGGGGGGACGCTGGGGAAAGATGAAGGAAAGAGGAATGAGGATACACAAAAAAATACATGGAATAACGGAAGGAAAACAACTGCATCGAATTCAAGGGGTAGGGAAAAATAATCGGCAAACCAACACAATTTTTCTCCCGCTTTCGGGGGTGGTGGACTTCGAGATTTCTCGCCCAGCCTACAAATAGCCCTGCAGGCCCGAACGTTCGGGCACGCGGCTTGACTCGCACGAATTGTGCGTGCGCTGGCGGTCTCGAGCGCGTGAAGTGGGGATCGCAATACAGTCAAAACCCATAGTAAGGACGAATACTCCCCTCGAGGGTACCCTTGCGTCCTTGCCTCTGGAGCTCTTCCTTCGGTGTTTTCGCTGGTTGGCCTGTCAGGGTGCCCCTGGGGCTGGTACTTCCAAGGGTCTTGCGTCCTTACCTTCCGTCCTTATCATAGGTTTCGATTGTATCGTTGCCGCCGCCCTGTCACCGTCGCAGCCCGCCCCATTCTCCCTGAGGGTCACGAGGTAGGAGAGGATCGAGGAGGAGGAGCGGAGGAGGAGGAGGAGGAGGATACTTAGAAGGTAGAAGATTGGAGGTCAAGGGGAGGAGGAGAAGGAGGGAGGGGCATGAGGGGTGAGGAAGAGGAGAGAGAATACGAGAGATGCTGAGGCGAAGGAGGCATAGGAAGATGAGATGATGAACACGAAAAGACACTAAGATGGTGTAGAGGGGACGTGCGTCCGCGATACACGTACTACACACGTGTCTTACGTATGTGTTTTACCGCGTATTACGTATGTCTTACGTCTGTCTTACGTGTGATCTTACGTTTGTATTACGTATGTATTACGTCTGTGGTGAATCTTACGTTTGTCTTACGTTTGTCTTACGTTTGTCTTACGTATGTGTTGACGGTTTGGGCGCTACCTATTTTTCGCTACCCATATTTTCGGTACCAGAGATCGATTGCGAATGTGCATGTGCCGACCGATTTTGCAATTTCAAGTGTTGGGGCGACGCTACCCATTTCTTAACTCGAACACGGTTCAATGCTACCTATTCTTAAGACGTTTCGGTTCGCTACCTATTCTGCTTCTTGTGTTCGAACGCTACCTAAAAAAAATGGTACCGAACCATCTGGGAATAGGATGGGCCGTGCATCCATCTCCTGAAGGATGGGGAGGTGACAAATGCGCGGCCTTTCCACAGAGGATGGCAGCCTGGTCTCCTGCCCATGGAATTGC